CATTATATATATATATTTTTTTAATTTCTGTTGATATGTCATTTCCATCACTGAAAGGTTACACGATCCCGTTTTCATCATAATTTAATACTGAACTATTCTCAAAAGCCGTTGTAATTACCTATCAAATTTCATCATGATTCATTAAAACATAAGATACATATATACCGTCAGTGTTATTATCACTAATTTTTTTAAATATACATGTATATTCCAATCTCCGTGGCATAATCTAGCTGACATAGCAGGAATAAGAAACCTATAATAGAGCTTCGATTAATTGAACATTTGTTTTCTCCTTCGGCAAGCTGTGTACATTCTTAATTTATATTTTCCACTGTGGCGCTAGTTAAAATGATCTAATCAATGGCAGATCATGATATATAAGGTCACGTTGAAATCGATTCGTCGCAAACATTTCTGCAGTTTATTTGTAATTGCTGTGATCTTCTTAAAATTTTGCCAAAGAAAGTAAAATGTTCCCTGAAGGTTCGATGATGCAAATCAAAACTTTTCTGTGTTATGTGTAGAATATTACAGAATCAGGGTCTTGGCGTTGGCGCTATAAATCTATAGTTGCATTAAAAACTCGTCAAAAATATCTTTATAAGTGATACCAACAACGTCATAAACAATGAAAAAATAAAAAGTATTCCGAAAAAGTAATCCCTCTGTGCGGTCAAAAAGATGAAATAGTGGAATAAAGCGGTGTGGATGTCACTGTTTGTATCGATGTTATCACGGAACTAACGCCAATTATTGGCAACTGTCTGGATAGGCTACAAGTGCATGTTCTGTGCATTCTGAAATTCCGGGATATATGTGGTACTATTGACAGAGACCGGCAGAAAACGTGCTAAAGACAATTGCTCCTGACAGGCGAGTGAGATAGCCATGGAAAACGATGTATTTTTTCTAGCTGGAAGACAGTTGTTCTGAATTGTTAATATTCTTAAAATCCCTATCGGTTTTTAGAGGTATGTGATGCTAACAGTTCGCTCCTATCGGTTTTCACTATTTGCCGTGACATTTACGTGACTACTACATATATGCAATTGCTTCGTCAAAGAGAATGGAAAAGTTGATCGCGTTGTGCTATGGAACGCCATAGCTGCCTGAAGGTCATTTTCATTTTATATGAGGTGGTATAACCTTTATGTGAAGTGGTTAAGTCATTATATATAGTGGTAAAATCATTATATTCAATGAAAACTTTATTATATGCAGTGGTTTTATCTTTATATACAGTGATAAAATCATTATATACAGTGATAAAATCATTATATTCATTGATGACTTTATTATATGCAGTGGTTTTATCATTATATTCAGTGGCAATGTCATTATATGTAGTGGTTAAATAATGTAATGAAGTGATAGTACCGTTACATTATGCTGTAAAATCATTATATGCAGTGGTTTTTCCATTATATACATTACTGATATCTTTCTGTGATGTGATAAATTCAATATATACAGTACAAACATAATTTGTGTGATAAAGCAATCATTACATTGTATGAAACCCGCTGCATGTGGAGTGCCAAGTTAATTTCATTCAGTGCGACACCTTTACATGAAGTGAAAGATCTATTATGTGCAGTACTAAGATCATTATATTATATAGTAAAATTATTATATATATTCCTAAAATCATACTTTGCAGTGGTAACATCTTTATATGAGGTGGTTAATTAATTATATGATGTTGTTAATTTGTTATATGATGTGGTCAATTCTTTTTATGCATTAGTCGTTTCATGTTATGCAGTGGTAACTTCTTTATCATCATCTAAACTGGTCCTTTTATTTAAAAAAAATGCGCGGAGTTCCAGTTTAAAGAGTGTTTGAAAATAGGAAACCCGGGCCGTGGCAAATTAAAAGCCGGGACTATTCGAGATTTTTCAAATTTTTGATTTAAAATTTTCAGACTCTTTTTTTAGGCTAATGTGTTTTCGCTGTAAAAATTGTATTTAAACACTTGGTATTTTAGATTTTCTTGACGATTTTTGGTTTCAAGTAAAATTGGTAGGCAGTTTCAATTTTCTGATTTAATATTTTATCCATTGTGCTATAAGTACTTAGTATTTTAGATTTTTTTTTGACGATTGTTGATTTCCATGTTGGTAAAATGGGTAGACCGGGTTGGCGATATTTTATGTGTGTGTGGTTTTTTTGTTTTTTTTTTTGTTTTTTGTTTTTTTTTTTTTTTGACATATTTGATAAAAATCTAATAAACTTAAAAATTATTCCGATGTTAAACACTGTATTTTAACTAAAAAAAACTTTTTCTTTTTGATAGTTATTTCTTTATTTGAAAATGCTATTTTTATGCAAAATACACATTTTCATTAAAAAAGGGATTATTAAACCAGATCCGATCATCCGGGAAGAACCTGGTGCAAAACACCATAAATCATTTCTAATTTCATAATATGCAAATGTGCACTGGTACATGTATCTATTTGTTAGTGGATGGAAAGAAACTGGATTACGTTAAATATGTAATTTGTTTAATACTTTTTTCGGGGTGGGGGCCGGGGGTGGGGGTGTTAAATTACTAATATCAACTATTTATAAGACTGTTTCTAAGACTTCAGAAAACCTTAAAAGTTAAATCACATTGAAATGCTTAAAATAAAAATTGCTGCATGAAAACATTTCATTTTCAAGTTTCATCTTTGCCGTCGCCAACGTGGCACGGTGATTAGAGTGTCTGCTCTAAGAGACGCGGAATAAGGAGTCAATCCTTACGTCACGGGTTCGAATCCGACAGTGGGACGTTGAGACCGCTCCTTCGTAAGAGACCGCATAAAGCCATAAACCGAGGTCCCGTTCCACAGTAGGTGTTGGCACGAAAAAAATCCCTCACTGCTCAATGGCCGTAAGTGTCGAGTATAGGACAAAATTTGCAGCTCTCCACTGGCAAATTGTGGCGTCTCCATATGAGTGAAAAATTCTCGAGAGGGACGTTAAACAGCAAACAAACAACCAAATTAAAATCATTTTAGCCTTTTTGAATAAAATGATAAAATTAAGAGTTATCCTTCAAGGCTGAGGATCGGATATCCTAAAACCAAGCAACTTACGCGTGATTAAAGTTTGACACAAGGCTTTGCATTAATAGTCCTATAATTACATGTATATGTGATAATTCTTTAATTAATTCATATTTTATCAAATGGCATGTAGATAATGAATAAGTATTTCGGATTTTTTATGTTTGACTTCCGGGAGATCAAATCCGATTTTAATGAACCATTGGCGTCGGAAGGAAATTGATAGTGGGGTGGCTAATTGAAATAGAAAAAAAAATCAAACCTGAAAAAAAAACTTGACAAGCAAAAAATTGTTCTTTCTCCAAACCCGAAAATCCTATTTCGGGGGTGTGGGTGGATGGGGGGGGGGGGGGATTGGTCGAACATCTTTCAGTACCAAATTCTTTTAAACACTACCAATTACCCTTCTTTCACTACAATGAATCGTGCCTGTAGAAAGTGGGGAGGGGGGGGGGGGAGGCTAGACCTACGCCCGAATTTTCAATGCCTATATTATGTCTACCTTTGTAAAAAAAAAAAAGAGGGGGGCAATAGCCCCCCCCCCCCCCCGGTTCCGACGCCTATGTGAACCGGTTTTTCTTAAACGTGTCATTTCACTCAAAAAATGCCTTTCAAAGAATGAATAATTTTTAACATCAGAATAATTTAAAAGCTTATAAGCTTTCTGTCAAATATGGCAAAAAAAAAAACAAAAAAAAAACAAACAAACAAAGAACAACAAACAAACAAACAAAACACGTAAAATGTCTGCTTGATTGCCTACCCGATTTACCAACCTCACGGGCGGATTCAGAGAGGGCCTATGCCCCCCCCCCCCCTTGTGTCCAAAATATACATAAGATTTAATAATCAATTGTTTTTTGGTTTGGCTGTGGGCTACCTACCCCGACCAAAAACTTGTCGGGCCCCCCTTTTCAAGATTCCTGGATCCACCACTGAACTTGGAAATCAACAATCGCCAAGAAAAACTAAATTACTAAGTATTTTAAAATTAAATGCAATTTTTACAGCGAATACACATTAACCTATAAAAATGAGTCTTAAAATTTCAGCACAGTTGATAAAATCAGGAAGCTGTATAATAGAATCAGAAATTAGAAAAATCTCGAATAGTCCCGGCTTTTAATTTGCCACGGCCCGGGTTTCCTATTTTCAAACACTCTTTAAACTGGAACTCCGCGCATTTTTTTTAAATAAAAGGACCAGTTTAGATGATGATAAAGAAGTTACCACTGCATAACATGAAACGTCTAATGCATATAAAGATTTGAGCACATCATATAACAAATTAACAACATCATAATATGTTGACGGTGCGACCGTTGGAGCGAGCGCAGCATCAATTCTTAAAGATTCTAAAATTTAGGCTTAATTTAAAGTTAATTACCTTGTGTAAATCACTGGTAAATAAGGAAACATTTCCTTTGTAAAGTAAGTTCTTAGAAAGAATAAACAAAGTCGTTGGAAGCCAATGGAAAAACGTTTGGGGACTAAGCTCCAATTTTAAATGCCTATATTACGATGTTTGCTCCCCCCCCCCCCCGAATCTGACGTATATGATTCAACTACTTAAATTTAATTTTGTTGTAGGACCTTTTTAAAAATATTGGCTCATTAAACATGTTAAATAACCACCGATTTTTTTTACCTGTTACGCCAGTCTTTTCAAGCTTTGTCAACAACAATTTGAGACCACATCTTCCTATCTGACCACATACATCATGGACTATATAAGAAAAGAGAAATAAATTTCTTGGTATTTATGTCTCTGATATTGAAATTGACGCCACTGATCGGGCGAATCCAGCAGACTTTAATTTTTAGACTTAAATTACCTGTCGTAGTAGGGAGAGATATCGATCCTAGAGCGAAATAGTCATGGGGCGAAACGGCCTGTCACCGCCGAAGGAAAGCACGCGCTGTCCAGTCCTGAGGAAGACGAAACATCAACATGTGATAGACGCCATGATTTGAAATAACCGTAAGCATGGTAAGCATTGGTTTTACAAAATGAAAGCATGAAAAGAACTTACCTTGTATTTCAGATATGCTGTTAATGACTGGGACAATGCAAATAAATTTTCTGCGGACGAGATCGGGTGATAAGTATAGAGTAACGCTAGTTCGGGGACCTTTAACTATTGTAGTAAAGTGTATGATATATATATATATATATATATATATATATATATATATATATATCTGTGTGTGTGTGTGTGTTTAAAAAAAAACATGATTAAGTTGAATTTAAAGTAACTAGACATTCTACATTTTTTTCGTGAAATAACTACAAAGGCTTGACAAGGTGTAGGATTAATACTAGTATTAATACAAAGATGCTGTACAGTTAGACTGGCATGTCTCCCACCATTCAGCATCAGTAAACTTGTAAAAAAGAAGAAGAAGAAGGATGATGGACAAGGAGAAATGATATGGTGAATCTAAAAATTTTACAGTGGGTAGCACAGTTGAAGTTTTTATCTTTGTCAAAACAAAAATAATAACTGGGGGATGGGGTAGTAACTGGTGTTAGTTTCATGCTTTATGGATCAAGATTTCTTTTGAACAACCCTGACATTATGAACTTCACTCTTGAAAATACATGTGGACCAATTTGAGAGTTTATATTTATTTGCCTTTGAAACCTGAAGGCGAGGAGAATAGGAAATAGACAGTTGTGACACAATCTCTTGATTGAGCTATGCATGAAGTAGAATATTAAAATTCATTGCACAATTATTACCACTTATGGGATGAGGACCCAAGACCTGACACAAAAGGTAACTTTACATGACCAAGCCTTGTTCCATTTCTAGTAAATGTAAAGTTTCATGACATATATGCATGTAACTATCTATCCTCTTTTACCTCAACAGACATTGCATTTTTCCTAATGGGTAAGATTTTAAAAATATAACTGTTATACATTAAGTTTAATTTTAATGAAATTTTGATCAACAGAGCATTATTTATTTTTTAATACATTTTTTATAATGACTGGGTCATTATCTTCCATGCGCAATGATTACTAAGTCATCATTGCTGTAAACAGTACTTTTTGCGGTCATAATTGAGTTTTACCATTGTTTGAGTTACTGTTCATCACCTTCTGTGCTATGACTATAATCACTCTCATCAATGTAGTAATTAGATTTGCAAGACGTTATTTATTAAAACTTTATGACTCCCTTTCAAAATAGTAAAACTGAAAACGAAACACCGAGGTACTATCGATCGTCATGTCTGATGGTCCATTGTCTGTTAATGTATTGTATCTAAACTGCAATAAAATTGGGTAAAAAATGACAAATTTTTAACCATAAATAATAAAAAAAATAGCTTAATCAAGAGATTGTGTTGAGTCTGAAAGACAATTGGATATATTCATTTTCTTTTAAAATCCCAAGTGTCATCTATTTCCTCATCCTCCTCCACCTCTTCCTCCGAAGTTGCACACAGATTATTTTTTTCAATATCATTGTAGATGGTGGAACATATCCTTGAGAACCATTTATCTGAAAGCAAACTGTCTGGATGAACGCCATCATAAAAATGATTGTAAATAAACTTGGTACGTTTTTTCCTGTTTTTACCATTCCTGCCTCTTTTCTTGACTGAAATTTTAGACACATCCTTGTCAAGCCTTATAGTACTAACATTGTTTTGTTCATTTAGTTTACAAATTTCTAGGTTGATTTCCCTAATGTCATGTTCAAGAGAATTTTGCTGGAAGTTGGAGTCGTCAAAAGCATATTGACTTATTTGCAGGTAACCTTTTTTGAATTGAAAATCTTTAAAGTTATGAATTGAAACAGGAGGAATGGTGGCAAATTGAACAGAAGTGTTGGATGATGGGAGGGTTTGAAATGAATTTTGAATGTTTTTGATTATAGATGAAATGCTTTCTGAAGAATGATGATATGAAATTTCAGTTCCATGTTGATGATGATTTTTTTTTGTTAAATTGCAGATTCCAGCCATGAAAACTATGCGGCATGGTGAGGTGTCAGGCATGCTTTTGTGAATTGATATAACTTCGTTCTTTAACCTTTCAATAGTGCCTCCTGGTCTGCATATAACGGATATTTTCCAGTGGTAAGGAAAAGGATTATTTTTCTGTACAAAAGATTGTAATCCTCTACCCCGGGAGTCACTGGCTATAATAATGTTCATTATCTAAAGTAAAAACGGATATTCAGATACCTCTACATAATTACATAATTAAGAAAGAAATGAATGTGTAATAAATTACTCAATGTGTTAAGTAAGTTCAGTAAAATACCTGGCACATATTTTGAGAATACATAAAAATATATGGACTTTTGCATGTATGTAATACAGTGCAAGTCTGAGACATGAAATTGCTTTTTTCATTTGTAACCCTTTACGTAAGATTTAACTGAGGAGGAGTGCACAGTTAGAGACTAGTATGTCTCACACCGTTCTCTTATTTAATTAAAAAATTGGTACCCTGGACCTGTAGACCATAACATTTCACATGCAGAGAGAGATAGAGGCCGTCATTCATTGTTAATAAGTTTAACCTCCAGCAAATGATATGAAAATAAGAGAATTAAAAAATGAACCATACAATTACTAAGACACTTTTTAATGAATTGGAAATCAGACTGTATAAAACATTTCCTTAAAATGTTTTTTTTAAAAATGTCTCAAGGGTATAGTGAATGCTGTCGATGGAAACTAAAAAGCCTTTGGTGTTGATTTTTCAGATAACAGACAGAGGAAAATGTATTTAATGTCATATGGCAGTAAACAAGGAATCTGGCATGGTCCTATGTATATATACACACACACACACACACACACACACACATATATATATATATATATATATATATATAGCAAATAGGTAAGAAATAGAGTTGACATACAAAAAGATACCATTAAGAACTCAATGTACTTCCCTAAAAGAAATGATTTTAGTGGTGAGTCCGAGTAGAAATAAAACGAATGTAGTATGCAGTAAGCAGAAATTTGTGGCCTCCATTTAGATTTTATCCCAGATGGCACATTATTATCATTGCATTAAATAGAAAGAATCTTGGCATGGTATTACACAATCTCTTTATAACCAAGTACAAAAAAACGTGATAACTATAAATTTACATCAAACAGTTAGAGACTGATATGTCCCCCACCATTCTATGTAAATAAAAAGGTAATTTGAACAGATGAAGAGGTCAGTTGGAGAGAGGGGGATTAAATAGATAAGTTTTTAGGTTTCAAGTGTTGACAAGGAGAGCATTATCCCTTTACAGAAACAGAAAAAAAAAATCTGACATGCATTGCACAGAAGTTAAGTTGAACCTTATATATGCTTTTACTAAGGTGAAGAACCATATGATTACCATCGAAAATTACATCAAACAGTTAGAGACTGATGTGTCCCCCACCGTTATATGTAAATAAAAAGGTAATTTGAACAGATGAGGAGATCAAGGGGATTGGGGGGTAAATGGATAAAAAAAATGGACATATTTCAGAAGGTAATGAAGAGAAGCATTATTCCTCTGTAGTGCTTGATGAATGAAGATCATGTATCAATTTTTTCAATTCTGTATCCTCTTTTAAATGCTGAAAATTTACAATTGTTTGTTTGGCAAAAATCTCAATTCTTTTAATCTCCCTTTCTCTGGCTGCTGTAGTTGGTGTGTTGACTTTGTGACATATTCTGTCTGCGTTAGCAAGAAAAGAAGGATGCCAAGCAAAATCGGGGTCAGATTTATTTTTTCCAGTAGATTTAGCACGTGACAAGGCTACAAACAGAGCACCAGGATTTCGAGATTCAAAAGCCCTTGTTCCAGGATGAATTACAATATATCTATTTACCTCCCCCTCCCCAATTGTCATACCTTGGCACCGATGAATTGTTGTTGCCCATCCCAGTCGTAAAGGAATTTGCTTACGTTTACAGAAACGACACCTACAATCTATTTTTCTTTCTACCGCAAATATTGGTATAACTTTAGGTTTAGTGGGTATGAAGGGTGGACCACTGTAATTTGGTACTTCAACCATAACAACATCAGGAAGTGCAGGGGGTTTTCTACCATTTAAATACAGAATATCTTCAACAGTGCCAACTGCACCATTAAAGAGTCCAAATTTTACACACAAATTAACTGAAATCATAACTTTCGAATTTTTGGAAATATATACAGTGTTAAGAAGACCACCAGCATTTTCACTTCCACCAGTCTTAGAATGCTGACCTTTTGATATGGAAATAATTTTTGCTACTGGGAATTTTTTATTTACATCATATAATTTTGTTGCATTATGATTCCATTCTTCATCATGAGTAGGGAAAACAAAGAGTCCTTTTTCTGATATTCGTTCCAATAATCCTTCACCATGTGTTATTTTCAGGTTGTTCCACTGAAACTGCTGCAACCACTGGGCCTGACAAGGAGTTGCCTTGTACTCCCGAAGACACAAAAGGACATCTTTTAGTTCTTTTTCATGCTCTCCTTGACGAATGATTTTCTTTAAAACAACAGCAGTTTTGAATTCTTGCCAAACTAAAACACCATGCATTGAAGCTGGGGATTTACCTTTTGAATAATATACAGGAGCATCTAAGACTGGTGGAAGTTGTACATCGTCTCCAAAAAAAACTACCACAGGAATACCACCCCAGGTCTGGTCAGAAATACCTGTGCCACACCTGCAATGAAAATCCATCCATCCAAGTGTAGTTGATCCTACTAAAGATCGTTCATCAACAAGAATGGCATGAATTCCAGAGCAGTTAGCTTGGAGGTCCTCCCCTAATGAACCATCTGGTGCCTTCATTTCTCCTCCTCTCTGAAGGGTAGGTATTTTTAGAAAACTATGAAGAGTAACTCCTGAAATCAAATTAGCACTATTGCCCGTAGGACACAATACTTGAACTGCTTTATTAGAATTAAAAAATAAACGAATTGCTCTGACAAGACATTTAATTAGAAAAGATTTTCCAGACCCTGCAGAACCAGAAACAACCATTCTAAGTGGCTTGTAATTTTCAGATTTATTTGAGAAGGTTAAAAGTGTTTTCATGACTATATTGAATGCCAATAACTGGTCCTCATTCATACTGTCCAAGTTGACTTGAGGTATTTTTAGACTTTCATTTTCTTCAATAGATTTTGTAAGACTATTCCACCACTCTTCACCAAGGTCATCTGGATAATTTTCTGATGAAGCACTCCAATCATGGTCAGGACCTCCATCATCAAAAGTAAAATTCTGATGTAAATCATCAAAGTTTGGATTTGGACGAAGAACTTCCATCCATTCTGGTTGGACCATGTTGTCATTCGAACAGTCTTCTTCTTGTGAGAAATTGTAAGATTTTTTTTCTTTAGCCTGCTTAACATCTGCTTTAATGAAATTAGGACAATTCTCTGATTCTAAAAAGAGTGCAAACTTTTCTATCCAAGTTGTTTCATTGTCTTTTATGTCTGAAAAACTTCTCCAATTTGGAAAATGTAAAATAAGACTTGTTCTGCAGTAAGCTTCCTCTAAAGGCCAAGAAGCTTGTGTTGGTCCATTTATTACAGGAACTTTTCCATTTTTTGAAATAAATTGATAGAGAGATGAATGATCATTCTCATGTCTAGAAAGATATTTATCAATGATAGTATTTTTTGTTAATGTGTTCATTCCAGATTGCTGGAGTACTCTACAACCTGATAAACTCACATATTGAAAAGAGTGACTAGAACGGAACAGGGGTATTGAGGATAGCTCAAAACAGGCTTCCACAGAAGAAATGTCTCTCTTAACAGTATTCATAAGAAGTTTTGTACAGAGTGATTTTGGTGTTTCACCTGAGGATTCATCAGAATTGTTTACCATGTCAGAAAAAAGATCAGAAAGAGCACCAGTTGGTTCGTTACCTTTGCAGGCATACCCTGTTATATATTTTTCAGTGGCAAGAATTTCTTCAACAGATGGATTAGATGGATCGCTTTTAGAAAGAATTAAAGAAATGTCACCATTGGCTCTCCAGCCTTGTGTATGAAATTTGGAATGTTGCACAAGAACTGGATGATCTCTTTCCATCTCGAGTCGCAGAGATCCATTCCTGTCTTTAACTAAAGCGGGGGAAGATCGCAGCTGTTTTGGAAATTCCATTCTACAATTTTTTTCAGATGCATTGAATTTAGAAGGTTTCAGGCAATAATCTGAACAACGGTGTAAATTAAAACGGTTAGATAAAAGTAAATGATCCTCTAGTAGTGATTCTTGGGAATAACTGACATCCATCAAAAGTTTGAATAGGGGATTATTTTCATCTGGAGGAGGAGGAGCAGTACCCTCTGGTGGAGGCCACAAATTTTTATTTGAGATACCGTTTTCATCCTTACCAGCAGGATGATTAGCTGTGAGACCAAAATTTTCACTAGCCCACTGAGATAGTTTTTCAGCACATTCTTCATCTGAAAGACCAGCTGAGATGGCATTGTGCAAAAGATTATGAGGCTCTCGATCTGATCTCCAGCAAAGACCATGCCAGTGAACCATACCTCTTGACTTAGCAAACTCTTGTCTGTACCAATATGAGTCAACACCAAAGACAGGACCCATTACATTTCTAAAATATGATTGTGTTCTCAGGTCGAAATATTGAGCAACTACATGTGCATGGTCTTGAAGAGTTTTAAAAAGAATATTTTTGTCTGTCAGATCTACTGATGAGCCAGTTGTTTGAGAGACATACATAGATAATAATCTCTTGAGAGGTTTGAAGTGAAACTCTGCACAACTACCTGTAGTAAAAAATGATGGTAGACCCATTCCCTCATTTATTTTATATTGCACTAATGATCTTAATTCTTTTGCCCTCTGTCCCCAGTATTGAGTTGTGCCCCTTAGATTTCCTGCAAAATACAGAATTTTTTCATTCACTGATGTGTCATTATTTTCAACAAGTTTTTTCAGATCACTGATTGTGAAGTGGTTGTCTCCAAGTTTTTGTTTTATTATGTATTTGCTCTTTTCAAGGGCATTTTTGCGCATGATCATATTGTGAACTACAAATTTGAAATACGGATGTTTGGCAAACCTGCCATCATCATACCATAATAAATGTTCAGCCCAGTCAGTCATAGATGTGATAGAAATAGGTCTGTTAATGTATAAGTCACCAGAGCCATAAGGAAAGAGGGCAGGAAAGGCAAGAGTAAAAAAATGCTGAGTAGTAAATTCTGATACAGGAATATTTCCTCTGGTGGGCCAAGGAATAGATATTGTCCCCTGTCTGTTGATAGAAACTTCCCCATTATTTTCCCCAATGATCTCTTGCACAATTTTTTGTACTTGTTCCTTAACACGTATATTTGAATCAGGTAGTTGTGCAGCAGAGTGTGAGGTACCTTCAGAAACACCAATATCAATTTGTTCAGCTGATGGGCCTTTATCATTTTTGTGAGGGGTGTTCTCTTTAAATTGTAGAGTAGTTATATCTGATAACTCTCCATCCTCGGGGAGTTTTTGTAATCTCTCAGAACTTATAATTATGTCTGTATAAGCAGGGTTATTATTTTTGAGCCATTTTAAAGCTTTTTCAATTTTGAAACGACGGACTCTAAATTCTCTGCATGTATCATTTTTGCCTTGTTTTTTAACTTTTATAATTTGAATTTCTTGAGGGAGTCGAGGAAAAATTCTGGCAGGCTCATTTATTTCTTGAGGAAAAGTTACACAATGACCTGAGGAAGCAATGCCACCATGATTTAGCATATGGACATTAATGCAAGGGGAGAGTCTACTGATGAGTTGTTGCTCAATAATTGTAAGATCTTGCAATTCCTGGGGTAATTTTCCTGGGTCCATGTTGTTTGAAGATGAAAATAATTTAATCTTATTTTTGTCAGTTTTACATCGTGTGCAGATGTCGTTTGATGACATTCTTGTTTCAAGTCTTCTTTCTTTACAAATAGTACAAAATTGAAAGCTATATGACATTTGTTGCAGTTCAAAGGCTCTGATGGAGTCCATGGCATTATCATATTTTGTATTGTCACAAAGAGGGGGAGGTGGGGGAAGATCTGACTCATTTAATTTATATTTTTGTATGATGCTTTTAATTTGTTTTTGTAGTTTTGATCGGCGTGATTTGTATTTTACATAAGTTTCATTTTCTGCAGGCATTTCATATTTAATACCATATTTTCTACAAAGTTCCTGAAGCCTTTTCTCATGTTCAGGTGCATGTTTAATTTTTTTTGCTGAAGTGGAATACAAGTATGGTCTGAATTGTCGTTTTCTAGATGGATTAGAATTTTTTTGGACTACTGTTGGGCTCTTTAAATGCAAGTTTTCATGATTTTGACTTGTACATGTAGACTGTGCATATGAATGTTCAAGGAATAGATGTTGCTCTGAGTGGCATAAGCTGCTATTGTAATGTTCGACATTTGCATAATTATGCTCAGAAGGAATATTGTTTACAACACTGTCAAGGTTTTGTTGCTTTGTTTGCTTGCATGTGTCTGTTTCTTGTTGTAAATGGGCTTCAAAATTTTGGACATTTGCATAATTGTGTTCAGAAGGAATGTTATTTTTAATACATCCATGGTTTTGATGGCTGGTTGGTTTGGATGAATTTGTTTCTTGTGCAGATGTTAAATGAGATTGCACAGTTTCAAAATTTTGGAGAGATTTTTTATTTGACTTGCTTGATTGTGTTTCAGATAGAGCAGGTGTCAAGTACTGAAAATGTTGATTTTTTAGTAACAAATTAATTGGTGGATTATCTGTATGAGCAGAAGGTTGAAAGGTTGTGAGCATATGAGATGTCATATTTTTTGCATTTTTACACTCAAGCCAAACATTGATTTGACGTTTAAGTAATAAAGCTGCAACTTCAACTTCACAAGAAGAAGCGTAATCATTCCCAAGAATCATTTGTTGAAAGTATGACAATGAAGAATGCTGTTGGATTTCAAGATTATTTTGAAAATTTTCCCAATTTTTCAGTATGTGATTACAAATTTCTTGCCTGTAAGTACTGGTCATGATTAAATTGTCATGTAATGCAAGACTCAAGCAATGAAAAAAGCAATTTCCGTCCCCAGGAACATTATGCACATGAAATTTTTGGTCAGAGATGACAGTGCCAACTCTTCTAGGATTCTTTGCACTTTGATTCATTCTGATACCTGATTATTTGCCGATACTTGACACTTTACCAATGCTTATGTGAAAATTGTAATGTTTAAATCTTGATTAAACAATATGTTACTCTATACTTATCACCTTTTCTTATTTTTCCCCACTTTTCACAAAGGTTTGTTTACTTGCAGCAGTTTGCAGGAACCAGGCTAGCAGACGATATATTTGTAAAAGAAAACCTCGGTCACTTTCCATAAATAAAAACAGAAATTATCGAGGTGTATTGAATGACAAATAAAATTGAAAATTAAACAAAGGAAGCTCTAGTTAATTTTGTATTTTTTTTTTATTTATTACTTGACAAAATTGAGCGTGTTCATGTGTTGTAAATAATTATTTTCAATAATCCCACGAGTTCTCGTTTGATGTACGAGAACCCCAGTGGAAAGCCTTGATGATGACGTCACAGGTCCATTGCATTTTTGTTCGAGGGTACACAGGTTTATATTGAGAAAGATAACTTTGACATGGGCTTACTCACGTGCAATGTTAATTAACACGGTGAGTTTTTTTTTCTCTTTGTGTGTGCATGATCATTTGTTATTCTCGCGAGAACGTAGCTTTAAGAAGCGATGCATTGTGGGTCAGAATTACTGCGGAAAAAAATTCTGTTGAATGAATGTGCAGTAGTCCGAATTTTCTCTTCGCCCAGGCGTTGTCGTTAGAGCTCGCAGTGACGAGCGGCGCTTCGCGCCGCTCGCTGCGCTCGCTATAATTAATTAACCACCTCATATAAAGATGTTACCACTGCAAAGTATGATTTTAGGAATATATATAATAATTTTACTATATAATATAATGATCTTAGTACTGCACATAATAGATTTTTCACTTCATGTAAAGGTGTCGCACTGAATGAAATTAACTTGGCACTCCACATGCAGCGGGTTTCATACAATGTAATGATTGCTTTATCACACAAATTATGTTTGTACTGTATATATTGAATTTATCACATCACAGAAAGATATCAGTAATGTATATAATGGAAAAACCACTGCATATAATGATTTTACAGCATAATGTAACGGTACTATCACTTCATTACATTATTTAACCACTACATATAATGACATTGCCACTGAATATAATGATAAAACCACTGCATATAATAAAGTCATCAATGAATATAATGATTTTATCACTGTATATAATGATTTTATCTCTGTATATAAAGATAAAACCACTGCATATAATAAAGTTTTCATTGAATATAATGATTTTACCACTATATATAATGACTTAACAACTTCACATAAAGGTTATACCACCTCATATAAAATGAAAATGACCTTCAGGCAGCTATGGCGTTCCATATTGTGCCATTATTCTTTTGTAGATCACCAAGGTGCTGGTAGGATATTATTTGTGACCCCTAACTACTCTAAACTCCCTGTTTTCGTCAACTTCTAAACAGATAAAATGTCCGGCTGTTCTGTATTGGGAATTTTTATCTTTTCCGATGTTCAACACAAGACTTGCAAATCGAGTTCTCTGTATTTGAGGAGCAGATAAAACACAGATAAAGTTTGTGTTATCTCTATGCCGAGTGCAATACTGGGTAAATGTTTGTCTGTACCCGATTAGATCCAGATTTCCCGTTTGTTGTGGTCCTGTCTGTCCCCATTTGCTGCCCAGATTTACCAGATTAAACCACTACATGGAAATAGTACGAACGTAGCTCCTAGATTCACCATGCATCTTTGCATCCTTGAGTTGCTAATTATTTTAACTGTTGTACTGTTGTCTGGAGTCAAAACACAATCGGTCTGTCCCCCACAATGCTTTTGTTCCTACCCGGAAACCGTAGAGTGCTCCGGAAGGAATTTGACCACCATTCCGAATATGATGGCTACTGATATTAAAAAGCTGTAAGTATTTCATTTATATAAATCGCTATTTGGAAAAATAGCAATTATTGATAGAATTAACAAAAAAATGTATAAGTAACATATACTGTAGTTCTAAAACGATACTGACAGAATTATTAATTGTTTACAGATACTTCTGGTGCAATGCATAAATGTTAAAGTAACGAAAACACATTTAAACATCTGCTCGATTTAACTTTTCTTTAGCTCTTTTTTGCAAAGCATTTGTAGAAGGTATGCAGATATGCAATAGCCCTTTACGATGAACTGAATGTAACAATAGGTTTCTCAGAAAAGCAAGTATCCTCTGGGTAACCTCGAACACTCTTTTTAAACAACTTATTTTTATTTGTATGGATGGTTGATACGTTGATCACCTTGCTATTGTTGTCAATGTCTAGTTATACTCAGCCGAATCTCTGCTTATGTCTCTTATAGTCGTAAACCACAAACAGTGCTTATTGTGATAACCTTGCATTCAAAGGTTAACGCAACATTTAGCAAACCAAAAAAAAAATTATGATATATTTCTAAAATATAATAAAACTTCCACTACTTTATGAATATCATGAAGAATATAGAAGCATTCTATGATAGACAAAATCTATTAATATTATGCGGAACAAAAAGTGTAAGTAATATTTTATCATTGTCTTTAAAAATACCTTAAAGGAACATGTAATTCCAAACGTTTAGTTATGTCTTATATTTCTTGAAAATACAATCTTTTAATAATAATGTTTAAAATAAAATTTGAACCTAGAGAAAAGAATTTGAGGCACATTTCCATAATAAAATTAAGTTTAATTTGTCCATTTGCAATTGTGATTTCTTGCAGGGGTTAACGAAGTCTATTGAGCACATATTTATCGGACCTACTATGATGAATGGTTAAACAATTTCCTCTGTTCTCAGACTGAATACTAGTATATTTCTATGTGTACAGTTGAAGTGTAATGCTGAGTGTAATACTTAAACACAATTTTGGTCAATTACACAGTTAGAAAGACTGTAAACAATAACTAACAATTGCAGTATTCAGTGTAAAGTGCATAATTACATCAAGATTATAAGGAATATCGGTGGAGGACACCAATTAACCCCTGGAGCACATTAAAGCCCGTCTGTTTTAACGTCTTAATTGTATCGGAATCGTATTTTTGCGCGCCAAATACCTCCAGTAATTGATTGTGATGAAAGATCATAGATCTGTTTACTTATAGATAGGCCATGTTTCTTGAATTGGGCCTTGTCGATATTTCTGACATGCACTATGCCGATTTATTTATTGATGCTTGGCTGTCAATAACAACAAAAAATACACCAACAGTATTGATCTGTTAGTATAATGACTATACATTTTATTTTATTGATTTATTGAAATTCATATTACAGGATTAAAAAAAAGTATTACGCAGCCTTGTCCAAATTCATTGTTATATCAAAATCCTACAGAAAAAAAAATCATTGTAGATACAGCATCTATTTTTATAAAACAGGAATAAATAAAAAGCTGTCAATAATTGAGCCATTACGGTATAGATCATAGAGAAAGATATAGTGCATAAAAAATCAATATAAAGGAACTTACTGCGAATTTTAGATTACCGTGAATTTTCACCATCGAGATGGAGGATTATGTCAACATTCCATGGCTCATTAATACGTGTTACATCCAGCAGAACCGACATAGCGCTAGTTTCATTGCTCTTTATCTAGTCACAGTGATCGGAAAAATAGGGTATGGTGACAAACGACGCACTGATTACACTCTTTGCTTGAACTGTTTAAGTACGACTTGTCCTTTTTCAGCTATTTTACACTGAGAAAACTCTTTTTGTAAATCATGCTAAATGTCTGATGAAAGTACAAAGAATTTTTTTTTTGATTCCGGGAATCTTTTAGGAATATCTTTCATTGAAGATCAGAAGTACTTTGTGACTTTAAATATACACGTATCAACAGTAATCAAGCGAGAGATTACAATGTTAAATATGCATTTCAATGCCAGACAGCCTAACTTTAGTAGAAGTCAAATTAGTAGATATTTTACAACTTTCATGTGTATAAATACCAAAATGAAAGCCGTACAAAAGTCCATCAACATAACTATACAACATAACCACAGTAACTATACAACATAAAAACATAAACTATACAATATAATAACAGTAACTATACAAAATAAAAAACGTAACTAAACAAGATAACAAAAGTAACTATAAATCACAACCACAGTATAACTAAACAACATAACAAAAGTTACAATGCAACAAAACAACAGTAACTATACAACGTTAAAACAACTGTACAACAAATGAAACTATACAACATGATAACTGAAACTATACAACATAACTGCAGTAACTATGCAGTAACTAACAGTGCAAGATAAAATCCAGAACAATACAGTGTACTATTCTTAACTACACAATCCACGAATTTAAGATGTACATTCCACCACAGTCAATAAACATACAGAGTGCCATCACCGAAAACTTAATCCAATATCTCTATACTTACTAATCCGCCTTCTGCAACTAATAATCCACTTGTTACTTTACAACCAATGATTTGTAACTTTGCCATCAGTCCTCCGTACCTATACAACCCATCGTCAGTAAATCTATACGATCAGTCATATGCGCAATATACAATAAAGTCTCAGTAACTGTACACTCCAACATCGGTAACTTCATATTTACAACTCACTATTATTGACTCCCCCAGTCTGTAACTACTAAGTATAAGTTTCTTCCTTAGTTACTTTGTATTCTATCACAACAGTTACGGTCCACCATCTATGTAATACGTTTGAAAACCAGCAAAAATTTACTATACTCTCCACTCAAAGATATAGTAAGTTGGACAGATTAAATTAAATCTTTCCTAAATTAATTTAAAAGAAAATGTCTTCATTAGTTACTTTGTATTCTATCGCAACACGGTACACCATCTATGTAATACTTTTAAAAACAAGCAACAATTTACTAAACTTTCCATCCTTGCTGGTAGTACAAAGTTCATTGCTAAAATGGAGGATTAATGAAATGTTAGCTTAATATTTTCACAGTGTTTGAACTTATTTGAACTTATGAAAAACATTGGGCTATTTTGTAATGTTTATTGATTTGTATTGCAAAAAAGCTCTTGGGAGTCAGACTGGAATTACGTGAACGACTGCTAAGCTTTTTAAGATTTCCTTAATTTAAGATATTTATAGGTTTCTCTTATATTTCATCTGCTATTATTTGTCAACGATTGTTTTATAACACCATATCACATGACGTCATATCCGGGTGTGTAGAGTAGATTTCCGGGATGAAAGAAATGTTATTAAGGTTACATTGTTCGTAGAAATGTTCATAAAAGCGCAATATCGATGACACGATTCTATTAGAAGGTTTAATATTTAAGATTTCAAATCCCAAACTGGTATTTAGACTATGATATGAACTGGCATAAAAGAGCTGGATCCTGAACAAGTGTGTTTTTTTATGTCACTTAATCATGACTGTATTATATGGGGAATAAAAAAAAGAAGAAAAGAAAAACATATAAAAACATTCGAAAAAAACTAGTACGGAACTAATATGGCATTCATCAGAGATGATTCACTGAAATCCACAGTTAGTGTAGAACTTCATGTCTGTGATATTAATTATTGATACACGATTCAAAGAAAAAAACGTATTTCAAAGAAACAGCTAGCTGCAGTTGAACTTTTACATTTCTGCTTCGCAGATCTTTGCATTATCTGTCCTAATGCAGGAAAACTTCTGATTAACGTAAATTTCTTTCTTTACACGCATTGTCGATCGCAATTTCAACTCTCTCTCTCTCTCTCTCTCTCTCTCTCTCTCTCTATATATATTGAATTAAGGTAGTTTGGTTGTTAATTTTGATAACACTATATTTTGTAATTCCATGAAATATGAAGATAACGAACAATATTCAATCTCGAAAGTCCAATGAAACGATACAAATTTGGAGCAGAGCAAACACGGACCTCAAAAGTTAGAGGTGGGATCAGGTGCCATGGAGGAGTGAGCATCCCCTGCTGACCGGTCACACCCGCCGTGTGGTCCTTGTCATGATCGGGAAACAAAAACCGGAAAAATCCGTAGTCAGTTCAATGTATAAATAATGGCCTAAAAATTATTATGAAAAACATCAGTCAGCATTTGACTCAATGATAGGTTGTATGTGCTGACAAGGTCATTGTATCGACCGAAAAGATTTCAAACGAGACTGTTGATATCCTTGTTTCGTCAACTTGTTTGTCAATAGCTTGCCTCGTTTTAGAAATTGTTCATACGTAGAGCATGCTCTTGCGTATCGAATCAACTGAGAGACATAAACCCCATATGCAAGTGATAAGGGTATAATGCTACATAAGTAAGGGAAGTTGACTTTTGAAAAGTTGAAGTCATCACGTTTATCATAAAGCTTGGTTGTTAGGTTACCATTAACGTCTTTTTCTAGTAAAATATCTAAATATGAAACAGATGTGTCAGAATCTGTGTTATCTTTTATTTCAAGCTCACTGGGATATATCGAGTCGACATATGAATGAAAGTAACTATTGTTAATTGATAATACGTAGTCGATATATCTAAATGTCGAGTTGAAGGCCACAGCAAGTGTTTTCTTCTTCTCGTAGAAGTTTTTGAATAAATTCTGCATACAAAAATAGGTCTGCTAATAAGGGGGCGCAATTGGTACCCATGGGAATTCCAACAGATTGTTGGAAGATCTGATCTCCAAAATCTGATCCCCTGATTTCCATCCTTTTCATTCATAAGTATGAAGACTATGCGTGTCAACGAGACGTAGAACAGTATTTGTTATCGTCAAAATTTTTATTTTTATTTTTGTTTTTGTTTGTTTTTTTTTATATATCGAAAATGTTTCATCAATTAATAAATTATTTTCATCCATATGTCAACTAGATATATCCCAATGAATTCGAAATAAAAGACACAACAGTCTGTCAAATCTATTTCATATATGGATATTTTACTGATTATTGGCGTTAATAACCAGCTAACTAGACTATATGCCAAACGGAATGAATTCATTTTTTTTTCATCGTCAACGTTCCCTATTTTGTAGAAATATTCCACTAACACCTGCATATGGTGTTTATAGTGTATCTCCCAATTGATTGGTAGGCAAGAGCATGTTCTGTGTACCATTAATTTTTAAACTGAGGAAAACTTCTTACAAAATAGTCGATGTTATAGGTTTTACACGTTACATGTAAGAATGGTAAAGGAAGGAAGGCCATTCATTAAAATGGAGGTCTCTGGACGAAAAATTATGTCGCTGAAGACAGAAGACCTTAATAAAAAATAATTTTAATTCTAATGGAGGGCCAACAAGCTTTTGTGAAATTTTTCTATTTTAATCAAGTAAGGAGTGGTGGGAAGGGACTCTACTTGTACTATAAGATGTGTTTTTATTGTAAGGTTGAATGTAGTCTTATCTAGATGTGAACAACACAGAAAATTACACAGAGACAATATATTAACTAACAGTAGAAATCATTTCAATGAAAGTAATCCATGATTTGTTTGCCTTTACATTGGGCTTTAAAGTAGAAATTTTACAGTAGTGGTAGCAATACCGGTCAAAGTCTTTATCTTATTTTATTCGTTATAGAAATTATAAGAAACTACCTCATGGAAAGTGGTTATATTAAAATAAGTAATAATATAGGAATTTATTGTCATTGAAATAATATGTGTCTAGCATTTTGATTTTTTTTTAAATGAAATATATGGAGATAACAGTATTCTAAAAAGGTTTTAATACATAAAAGGAAAAATTAATAAAGATAAAAAAATTTTAAAAAAAAAAAAAAAAAAAAAACTAAAAAAAACTAAAAAAAACTAAAAAAAAAACCAAACCCCCCCCCCCCCCAAAAAAAAAACCAAAAAAAACACACAAAACAAAATAATTATACATTACTATATTCAAAGCTGTTTCAGTTCTAATCATGAAAAAACGTGTCCGAATGACTGACTGAACCGAGAAATTTGTGAGAGAAACTCTCTGTTTAAATATGCAGTGAAAAATAAAACAATAGGATGACACGTTTCAAACATGTTTGTATATAGACACATGTACACTGCAGTATCAAGATAATAGCCTTTTAAACTATTTCTTTTAAATATTTTGATGGAAACGAAAAAAAGATATTGATTTTGTTTTATCTTGGACATGAATAATAAAAGGTCATAAATAAGAGTAGAAATATAAATGGCTTCGACTCTATGCATGCATAACGTTCTTAGACTATTGAGCAATATTGTTCATATAAACAGTGCAATGATATTTCGCCCACTCGGTTTCTTGCGTTAAAACGGCGCTCGTTAACATAGTCGTAAAATTTACATAAAGATAAATATTTTGTTTTATAAAATCTTTTAAAATATTTATACCCAGTGCTAAAATTCTGATGATCAATCGTTTAACAAACCAAACTAAATTATCAGGCACAGCAAATAACATTTTACAACGTTTTCTAAGGAAAGAAAATCTTGCATTAATAATTCAAAATTATTACAAATTTTACCACGACGTAAAATTCATATGAATTTTATTCGTTCATCCTTTCATATTCTTAATAAAACTAATTTACATAAAGAAGATGGGTGAACAAGGCGGGCGAAGTGCCTATAGTGCGACAAACATGAAGTGAAAAATAAAATCTCAATTATATAAAAATTTTCTTTGATATTTCATCTAACGTTAAAGTATATTTTATGCTAAATCTCTACAATTTACAAAAATCTCACAAAGACTGAAATTATTTGCCTACGAAATAGCATACACACACTAAAGAGGACAAAAAGGATCATTTTCTCACACTTTAACAAAATTTTTCGATATGAGTGGGTCTTCGCTCCATTTTTTTGAAAGTTGATCCTAAAAGTTTGCATAAAAATATACATTTTTTGGTTTACAAAAACATGGAGCAAAGACCCACTATACCTTAAAAGTACACTTTTATGACAAAGCATTCGCATCTTTCCGAGAAATACTTGAAGTCCATTAAGTCAAGAGTCATATCACAAATATGATTTAAATGCCACTATTCGTCAGGAGCTGCGTGGCGTAGTGGTTAGCGAGTTAGTCTCGAAACAATATGATACTCCGGATTTTTATTGATAGGGGTTCGAATCCCACGAATACCATTTTATTTTTTTAATAAAAGAATAATTTTTTCCGAGATTTTTTTTTCTCAGAAAAGTTTTGTTAATCATAATTTCATAAATTTCAATAATGAGAACTTTATTTTAAATACTTAATTCACAAATTGAATATGATTTTATTAATATCTGAAGCTATAGGCATTCTGCACGCCTTGTTCACCCATCTTCTTTTATTGCACATAAAATAATAATGTATAATACTTATAAATAGTGATTGTCCGATTAAATACATATATTTTCAAATGACATCCTTATTCTGTTTCAACTGACCAGAGATCAATTCTTGGAATCAGACAGTAACAGCCACACGAATTTGCGAAAGCAAGGATAATATTCAAAAATATTTTGCGTTTTGTTTGTTTGTTTGTTGGTTGGTTGCTTTGTTTTGTTTTGTTTGTTTGTTGCTTTTTAATTTTTTTTCTCAAATGAATCAATTAAATGAAACATTGCCTTATATTAATCATATCAAGTACTAGTATTTAGAAACATTCCACTTTTGTAAAAAGTGAAAAAAAGTGTCCTTAAATGTGTAATGTACTTGTAAAATGTGTGGATATTACCATGTAGACCGTATGTACATGTGTTTTTGTTTTGTTTTTTGTTTTTTTAACTGTAATTTTCATCTTCTAAAATTGGTAAATTTTGAGAAATTAGCTGTTTTATTTTTTTTCTATTGATAGGTATTCTTCCAGCTAAATTTCATTTTTTAATTTGTTACATAGATGCACATTATAGTTATCTGTAGCTGAAGAGAATTTACGTATGACGTTTACATTGTAAACATCAAGCAAGGACTTTCTGAATTTCGTTTCTGATAAAATATTTAATCTTTTGTCACAATTTATCCATTGCACGTGTCCATTTGCGCCTGCGCATGTATTTGTCCAATGAGCATAGATACAAGATCGAGAATCTACAATCTCAAAGTCAACATTTTGCAAATTCTATGGTCAATACAATGACCTTGTTAGCAATACTAGTACATTGTACAATCTTTCGATAGGTCGAACGTTGACTGACGTACTTCATACAAATTGTTAGGTCATTATTTTTATACTAAATACATATATACTACGGATTTCTCCGTTTACACGATGATAACAAACGCACAGGGCGGGTGTGACCGGTCGATAGGGGATGCTTACTCCTCGAAGACGCCTGATCCATACACCTCTGATGTTTTCAGAGCCCCGTTTTTGTTCTGCTCACAATTTGTATTGCTTCATTGGATTTTTGAGCAAGATTACTGTCGTTATCTTCACATTTCAATTAAACTCAGAGAAAACAATCCCAGGAAAATTTTGCAGATAAAATGTGCTTTTCATAACAATGTTTTTAATCGGGTGCTGATTTTTATTTATTTATTTATTTATTTTTTGCTCATTGAAAGCTGAGAGGACAGAAAAAAAATATGAGAAGTGTGACCTTGAGCTAGTGTAGTTTCTAGCATTGCTTACACCTTTACTACGATTATATATTCTAACATAAATTGCAAAAGTTTATCGACTACGAGTCGTCTACGAATTTAAATAGAAACTTCACCTGGTTTCAATTATGCTTAATTTATTGTCATGTAGATTAAAAAAAAATTATACACGTTTCTCTATATTTAGTTCAAGGTAAACCCACACAATTGAACATTTTATAAGATGTCTTCTCTGCAGACTTTTGATTTAGAGATCAATCCTGAAGTCTGAACGTCGCAAAAATAAATGAATAAATAAATAATAAAACGAATAAATAAAAAATATACAAATGAATAAATAAATGGCGGGTGTGTATTTAAAATGTCACGTAAGCGTGATAAGACGTTCCACCTTCTTGTTAACGTTAAAGAATGTGTTAAAACAAGAGTGTCAGCTGTGATTATTGTTTTGAGGTAAATAAATAAAAGAGAAATGTACCCAAACTGTAGGCTTCAAGTTTTAGCAAACGACAGTTTAATCGTATATGAAAAAATGTGTAATTTAAACAATATTTTACTCTGAATAATCACAAAAGGATTGGACAGCAGGCACTACCGATATAAGTCCTCTCCATGACAAAATGTGAAATGTAAAATGCTAACCAAATGATAAGATTTTATTTTATTTTCCAGAGACCTCAGCATGAACAATCTGACATTGCTACCGGATCATGCCTTTTCACGATACAAACACCTAAAAGCCCTGTAAGTAGTGTCGTGTGGTCGGTTTTAATTCAGAAAGTAACACATTCATAATTGGACAACAAGTCAACAAACAATACGAGCAAATGTTACATAAATTTTAACAGAGCAAAGTCATAAAAGCTTTTGTTTAAATTACATCATTTTCGTATAGTAGAATGTTAAGGTACAAACTCCAACCACAAAAAGAAGTAATTTGCACAAACTAGACATTTGGGCTGATGAACATTCCTTAAGGAAGTAAAGATATTTATATTCAAATGTTTCCATCTATTATATTTACATAATAACGCCAAAGATAAGAGATTGAGGAGAAAAAACATTGACAAAATTGATTACAGCCTTGTTTTGCTGCTATGCCTTTATTTCATTGCATTTGAGACTTATGTTTATGCTATGGGACATATATAAGAATGTTCATGCATATCATGCAATATTATGAAAGGAATATAAATTCAAATAGACGAACAAACTGTAATTTGACCGTAAATTATATTTTTTTCCCCAAAATTTCTGTTGTTCTTATTGAACTTGAGTAAAATAATTAACATTTTAACAGAAATGTCAAATTGAACTGAGAAAGTCTTTCACAGAAAACATGTAAATATATTTTAAAATAGATTTTAAATACATTTAAACCACAATTTCTCTATATCCAAGGTAACCATTACAGAATGGAATTTAATTAATAGAATTTTCCGTATTATCTTGCAGACGACTGGCCGGAAATGGAATATCCTCAATATCTGAATCAGCATTTTTTTACTTGCACAATTTGGAGTCCTTGTAAGTTGGAAATATATACTCAATAACGTGTATGTAAAGAGAATAAAAAATTTGCGAATTTGTTACATCTACGTTAAGTTTGAAGTGAAGCACAGACTTATACCTAAGTCAAAATTTCAATTATATGTAAGATGTTTATTACTTGTGAACTGGAACACTTAATTTGCTGACAACAGTAGTTTGATAATGCAATGTTGAATAACATTTTTATTTTTGACTTTATTTATATAAAGATGTCTTGTAGACCTGTTGTTTGAGATAGCCAAGATTTATGGAAATACATGATTTTATTGTCCCTGAAGACGCTGATTTGAACTATGATATGTTGATTTTGGATTTTTTCCCTGACGTTATAAAGATATAATTGACAGAATATTGACAAAATTCACTCATCAAAAGAGGGTTGAATGAAAATTATTGTTTTCTACTTATTATTTTTCAATGCATGTATTTTTTTTATTTACTGTATTTTTTTTAAACAGGTTCCTTATGGGGAATAATTTAACGTCTCTCCGTAGTTCTATTTTTCGGCATCTCTACAGACTAACAGAACTGTAAGTTAGATTAATCATATATGTTACTGATCTGTACACTGACAGAACTGTACGTATACTGTAAACATACTGAAATATGTTTTATATATATATATATATATATATATATATATATATATATATATATATATATATATATATATATATATATGTCGGAAAAAATAGGCAAACGACGCCCGCGTGCGCGAGTGAGACGAGCACCAACGTAAATTTACGAGCTCACAAACCAAAATCGCGCATTCGATTTCCTTCAGTTTTGGGTTGAATGTAACGACTATCATAGCCAACTGTAATAACAGTAGTTTTAGAGTAATGTGATGGTGATTATACAGGTGGCAGGATGAATAGACCCATCTTGGCGTGGCGCTGTTACGCGTCAACGTCATCGTCACGGTTGGTTGAAAACCTTTCTAGGCCCTCTTTGACGAAAGATAAGACGTTCTATGGTGGAAAAATTCACAACAAACTGCACAGAAACCTGTTGTTGCCTTTGTCCTTACTTAAGCAATGCAATAGCCAGACCCCATGGAACTTCCGTCAATAATGCACATCGTCTGTAAATACCGAAAAACGATGTGTATAACTTAAGTGCAGCAAGTGGTACCAGAGATGTGTTGAAAAACATGTCATCAATATGCACGTGTTTTCGGCTTTTTACCACTTTCCCTACGTGACGTCATATATTACACGGTTGAGTAATTCTGAACACTGATTTTAATGCACAGTAACCAAGATATCCCTCTGACCAATTTTCATAATTTTCGGTTATGCAGTAAAAAAAATTCGCATATTATGTTACCCTACGTTTCTTTTTCCTTTCAGTATATTTGCTCTCATAATTTGTATTTTTTAAATAAAAATTTGAAAATGTTCGTTTTCTTCTTTCTTACACTACATTTTATTCTTTACACTGACATAACTTATATATATAGTGAAAACATATGTATACATGATGGATATTTTGAATGGAATGAAATTCAGAATTTAGAAGGAAATCCTACAGCTTGATAACACCCTTAATTGAAAAAAAAATAGTTCAAATAAACACAGACACAAAACATTATTTTTGCAAACAACTGATAATTGAAGCTTATAGGTAATTATGGTTATTTTTTAACAAAATATTCACGATAACAGGTTGTAAAGAATTCTTCAAAGTGCAAAGTGTTTTAATTAAAAAATAAAAGATGAGCAAGGTGTTTATTATAATGTAGAAATTGAAAAAGTGCGGTTTGAGAGAAAGAACAAGAGAACTCTATTCTTTTCTAAAGGTGACAACAAGAGCATAAATTTGTGTACAGTAAAAATACACTGTTAATGTTCATATAATATGTATGGTGTAAGGGAATGCTTTAAAAATCGAATGTTTTTAAGATTTATAATATTTATTTTATCAAGGTTTTTGGATGCCAATAAGATCACAGCCATATCTAGTAGCGCTTTTGACGGTCTATTTGGGTTATTGTTTCTACGATTGGACGCCAATAATCTCACGGAGATTCCACAGGAAGCTCTGGCCAGACTAGAAAGACTTCAAGCGCTGTAAGTTTGACGTCATTTCCTATACAGATAGAAGAGGGATTTTTTTTTAATTTCGTTGCAGAGAGTGGAGACGATATAATGCTAGCTAATATGAAGTCGCATTTTTGCTTTTTAGAGAACAATAACTTACTATTAAGGCGGTGCTTAAACATTTCCTTCTTCCGTTGGTTTGATATGCTATGCATGCAGATTATGGTAAATATCTTGGGTTTAAATGCCTTAAATTGAAGATGGTATCCTTCATTTAAATACAACACAATGGAGAAAAATCGTGTAAAACATCATACATGGTAGAGAGTAGAATACACGAACATTGGCATTAATGGGATAAAATTCCAATTGATGATGTTTCAATCCATGAATAATAGCAATAATATGTTGGGAAAACGCTGTAGTCTAGTTATATGCACGTTAAAAGGAAATGCAAAAAGGTAGTAGAATGTATGTAGACAGTCATAGAAGTCAGGATCTAATTTCTTTTTTTTTCTTTTAGCTTAATAAATAAAAAATATATCTCTCTACTTGTATCTCTCTCTCTCTCATATGATTCAAATCCTCAACAAAAACAAAAACAAATTCTGCGTAGAATCTGAATTGTTGTGAACAAAGGATTGAAGTGACAATAACAGGAATGGCTTCTCGATTTATGACAGGATAATTCATTGTCTAAAGTCTACTAGGTAGAAGAAGGAACACTGTTAAATCACTGATTTTCGGGGGGGGGGGGGGGGATGGGTTAATTTTTGTTGTTTTCGAGTTTTAAATAAACTGAAGCTTTCATGTCCAACACGAAATGTAAAATTTCAGACACACTTCCCCAACCACGAAATCAAATCACCTCCAACCAATAATGTCTCCTCAAACCACAAAAATGTCACCCTCACAAAAACTATACAGTAGTCAAGAAAATTCATTCTCTAAAACATGACAGCTTTTATTAGTGAAAATAAAAAAAGAGTTTGTTAATAATTTGACCTAAATTTTGAATGAAATACATTGAATCATACGCATGTTAAAATTTATATTTAAATCATAGTATCATCTTTAATTAACACAATAGTACGATAACTAATTTAAACTTCACAGTATTTTATTTCTATTTCAGAGATTTGTCTGTCAACAAAATTCAGCAAATTGAAGACTTTGCATTTTCTAACAACACTAACCTAGGGTCATTGTAAGTAATTATCATTTGATTTGATTTGAATGATTCTTTAATCTTTTTGTATCAAATCCAAAATAATCATTTAAATTCGACATATTTTTCTGTCTAGAAAGTATGTCAGTGGATAAAAATCATGATATCTTAATTACGTTATCAAAATGATTATGGTATTATTTTAAAAGATTCCTCCAGAAAGTTTGCTCTAGCAAATCCTACTGGTAATATCAGTTTAACATTCCACAAGTTAGAATTTTCTCACCGAGATGGGCGATAGCAAGTTGTATATAAGCTATCTAATGACAACTAATAGTATCTGATAATTGTTTATCAAGTTATGTTCATTGAAGATTTTATTAATGGGTTTCGGCATATACACAGTGTTTACATTTTTTTTCATCATTCATGCCGCGGGTATTTTCTCTCAAACTGAGATAGCTGCTTAATATGAGTTTGTCTTATGTCATATTGGCTGTTGAACTATAAGCCACAACAAAAATAAAAAAATAAAAAGTGATAAAAAAAAAAATAGATAAATAAAAAAAGCCAACATGTACTTTTGATGATAAAGTTAAATATGGGAATATCAGTAATGTATTTCAAATAAATATCCTTGGAATAAAATGTTCTTATTTTCTCATATATATATATATATATATATATATATATATATATATATATATATATATATATATATATATATATATATATATATATATATATGTATGTATGTATGTATGTATGTATATGTATGTATGTATATTTTTTTGTTGGCTTTTCTGTTTTCAGTATGATACTTAGAAATCACAGACAGAGAGTGTGAAAGTGAAACAATTTCTAGATAAGAACTAATTTTACAACCGATCCTTTAATGATATCAATCACTCATGTCGCGATGAAAACCTAATTCCTTGAAGCAACGGCGCAATTTGAATCCCACATAGTGAGAAAAACTACAATTCTGTATTGTTAAGCGGATCCTCGGCGTTCAATAATGTTTGTTAATCCACTGATATTAACCTTTTTACTGTTGATTTCGTACTCTGCACATTATTTATCCTGATTTTGTCTAAACTAAAAATGAATATACGAATATATATATCAATGATATTTTTAGTGCTTCTAGTGTCTACAGGTAGTGAACTAGATGACATAAAAGTAGAGGAGGAGAAAATTTAAATTATAGTGTCATTTGTCAATTCGTGATATGGTGAATGCAATAATGGATAGAAAGCATTTGTCATTAATCAACGTACGTTGTTCGCAATGTTGCAAATGATCGATTATTTTATAAATCGAAACTAAATGAAACCGAACCCGATATTTGAGGGTTTATCTGTTGCTAATTATCAAATGGTTGTTATCTGCCTTCGTCATAAAAAGACAAAACATTATCTGTTAAATGTCATATCATTAGTTTGAAGAAAGAAAAAATACCAATGATACTAGATGCTGAGTCTCCTGTCTGCCATTCTTGCACTATCAACATTAAAGTGACGAGTCTTGGCAGCTTTTTCCAATTCATCATGGATTTTCATGGAAAGGCTGATAACATTAAAACCAAAGGAAAAAAATGTTTAAAGTCTACTTTTTGACAACAATACATTGCTTATGTTTCATCTGAAATGTATAATTTCTAGCTTTTATTTAGGTTAACACTGGATGGTACAAAGTAGTGCTAACCTTTCATTTACAAAAAAGACCGTTGCCAAGAACTCAATTTTTTTAAAGACATGTTTCAATTTTTCAAAACTTAATGCCATTTGAATAAAAGCTACCACTAGCGATTATTTCCTCAATACTTTTTTGGTCTTGACCTTTTAATGCGTTGCGAACCTCACAGTTCAGAATGACGAAAAATTAAGTGAATAAATGAAGATAACGAACAGTGATCGATCTCAAATAACCTACAGACGATACAAATTTGTGAAGAGGGCATCAAATACGGACTCCTGGAAATTCCAGTGGTAGAATCGGGTACCTAAGAGGAGTAAGCATCCCTTAATATATCACAACCGCCGTGAGCCCTATGTATTGATCAGATAGACGGAGTAATCTCTGTTCAAATTTAATATGAATCAAAGGTATAACAAAGTCATTCAAAACACGACCCAGTGATAAGTTGTATTTGCTACACTGTAACAAGGTCATTATATTGACCATAGAATTTAAGAAATACTGAGTTAAGGGGTGTGTGTGTGTGTGTGTGTGTGTGTGAAATCCGTGTAACATCATCATCATTTTATTTGTCAGTAGCCAGACTCGGTTTAAAAATTGATCATACTCAGAGCATGCTTTTGAGTATCGAATTTGTTGGGAGACATAAACACTAAATGCAGGAGGTAGTGGAATATTGTTTCATAGATAAGGAAAGCTGAAGAAAAGCTGAACTCATTTCGTTTTGATATAGTTTGCTTGTGAGTTAACCCTTATCGTATTTAGTCAATTAAACATCCAGATATAAAACAGATGTGGCAGACTCATTGGGGTTTTTTTATTTCGAGTTCACTGGGATATATCGAGTAGACATATGAATGGAAGTATCTACTGTTAATTGATAAAACCTCGTCGATATACCTAAATGTTGAGGTTACAGCAGATGTTTTCTTCTTCTCATGTAAAAGTTCTTGAATAAGTTCTGCTTTATACGAATATAAAGCAGGTCGCCTAATAAAGGAGCACAATTAGTGCCCATCGAAATTCCAAACAAACTGTTGGAGGACCTGGTCTCCAAAAACTACTTAAATGATGTCAATAAGAACTCTAGCATCTTTTTTATATCAACCTCAGAGTACTTACGTGTAGAATCAGAGTCATTTTGTAAATGACCAATCACAAGATATGAAAATCTCGTAGTTCAATTTTTATTGAAGAAGCAATTTCTGTGAAATCAAAAAGCCTAGTTATTAATTTATCGTGAGGAATGGTTGTATAGCGTGAAGAAAAGTCATACGTTTTGTAACATCATCAACATCATCTTATTTGTCAGTAGCCAGCCTCGGTTTGAAAATTGATCATACAAAGAGCATGCTTTTGAGTATTTAATTAGCTGGGAGACATAAATATCAAATGCGGGTGATAGCGGAATATTACTACATAGGTTATGAAAGTTTATGATGGAAAAGCAAAAGTCATTTCGTTTTGATATACGGTTTGGTTGTAAGTCTCAACATTCCTTAAACTACTGAAACTAACATCTTTTTGTTTATATATCACAGGGCTCTCCATGACAATAGGATATCTTTGATTCGTGACCATGCTTTTGAGGGACTTAATGTACTCACTAGTTTGTAGGTATCTTAATCTGGGATAAAGAACATTTGATATTTTAGTGAGTTTTATAATGACTTACGTCTGAAATGCACTTCATCATTAATACTTACTACATACGTCTTTTATTTGAACAGAGAATTACAACGGAATCGACTGACGCACGTCCCCGCGGGAATCATGACCCTCCCCGACCTCATGGACCTGTGAGTGACTTTCTTGTTATAAATTGTAAACATGATTACCGATCTTTAGATCGAAGTAGCTCATATCACGAAAATTTAATCCACTAGATGAAATGAATGTGACGAACTGTCTAATAATTGTAATTGATGTTAGCATAAAGCTAATTCTATATAGACAGGTAATTACTGTTGAGCCGTGCATGCATCGTGTTATACTCTGAATATGGTAAGACTATCCTCTTTATTTTTCAGAAATCTTGAGAATAATCGAATCCAGTTTATACCAAGTCACGTGTTTCAGCTGAATAAAAACCTAAGAGACATTAAACTCCGCGGCAATCCTATATCATCCTTCGGCCGCAACACTTTCCAGGGACTTCATTATTTGAGGGAATTGTACGAATTGTTCATATAGGAGTTGTGTTAAAAAATTATCAATTAACCATGACTATCATGATAAGTTTTACGAGAACATACATGCAAAACATTATGCCTCAATTAGGGTAACAAGTGTTATAAATTACATGTATATAAGCATTGTCTCGTCAATAAAAAAAAATACATCGGTACTGAATATTGTTCATGAGATGTTCATGCAAAATTGCAAACAGGCTAGTATTATGTTAGCAAGCTATCAATATCAGAAAAACTATTTCTATTAATATATAATCTTTATTTGCTAAATACAATCGTATATTATCTTTCTATGCAAAATATCCATGCATGGTATGAATTAGATTTACAAAAACATTTTAGGTAATTTTTTTTAACTCTGAAAATGAAAGATTCATTTTGTGTTATTACGACGAATAAGACCGACCACATATTCATAAAATGTAATTTTTCGTGTATTTCTGTAATACCATCGATTATTTGTACAGAAGTTAGAAAAAAGCTTCGGAAGTACTGAGGAATATTTGTTACAGAAAAGATAAATTATTTCCAAAATGCTAATAAATCAACACCACTGGTAAAAGCACAAAAAAGAATGACTATTATCATTGCAATCGAAAACAGAAACACAAATAACGTCATTACTGCCTCGCTAATTAAGTGTTGCCTCTACAATAAATCATTTTATCTTTTAGAACAATATCGGAAGCCCGCGACCTGGAACATTTCCCTAACGTCACAGGCTGTATGAGTCTACAGCTTCTAAGACTGGACAGAGCTAGTATTTCTGAAGTACCAGCAGACCTTTGCCGCACACTTCCAGATCTTTTCACGCTGTAATACAGTAGTTCATAATTATCAACATTTTAAGCATGTGATCGTATTTTGAATTATTTTTTTAAGAACTGTAGTATTGCAAAAACTAAATCGTGACATGAAGTGATGTTAGAATTTTCAGAATTCTGAATACTATTTTATGATTATCGTATTTCCTCGGTAATTTTCTATTTCAGAGATTTGCATTCCAATAAATTATCTAGGATTCCAAACTTAGAAAACTGTTACAATCTTAAGCAATTGTGAGTCATTTTTCAGCCATTTACTGAGTGTTGCTACATCCCTAATTTTGCCTTGAAATAATTAACAACCTTTTCCCCCAAAACTAATAAGATTTTTATTGAGCAAATGGTCTGAAACCTGAATACATTTTCTCTTTAAAGAAACCTCGGCAGCAATAAGATAACATCTCTGGAAGGAAGTCCATTTGTGAACGCCACTCGTTTACAAGACCTGACATTATCTCATAACTTCATACCCTATATTGGAAACAGTGCATTCAAAGGCCTGAGGAAACTAGAGTACTTGTAAGCAGAAACTTTTTACATTTTACCCAATAGCTGAATGGATGATTGGTGATTAATCGTTATCACGCCATAACCTGCCGAGTGCCTGATTATACTAATAGAAAGAATTGTCCCGATTTGTATTTTCATTGCTTTTACTAGGAATTGAGGAGCATTTATATTTATATTAGAACCCTAAATTAACAATTAACACTGACTTTAAGTGAAATTTCAGCACCCAATTTTCCCATCTTTGTATCTACTTAAAATTGCAGCGATGTTTAACTCGCGTAAGGCAAATACTAAAGCCAGCTTGTCTGATCGAGATTTGTCCGCTGTCTATCCGTCTGTTCGTCTGACTCTTATTATTCACTTTTTTACATTTTTACAATTCTTTTCTAGAACCACTGGACTACTTTCAACCAAACTATGCAAATAGTATCCTTGGTTAAGGTATGTCACTCGTCAGCTTTTGGGAAAAGTTTGGTCAGAACCTCTAATTTCAAAATTATTAATTACAGTTCAATTTTTAGGACATAATTGAATTAAAGAATTCAAATAATGCGAAATTCAATTCATAAACTACTCTCAAAATTGTAAAGAAACAAGATTTACGGGGGACTATTTATTGTAGTGGAAGAATATTTCTAAGAAGACCAATATCTCTTTACATCACTGGTCCCAACTTTTTCTTTCATTAAGGAAATAACACGATACTTCCAATTGTTGTTCTTGAGAATTAGATTTTTTTTTTTGGAAAAAAGAACAACTAGGCTATGACCTCGTCTGCTCCTCAGTTGACAATGTTTTTCAAGGGGTGAAAATTTGTAATGTTACCCTCAACTGCATGCAATATTTATTTAATCATATTTTGAATGTTAAACTAAAAACATCAAGCAAAAGATTCGATTGAATATGATGAACCGTACACGCATATATTTCATAAATGTGAATTTTTTATATCACCCGATGTCAAGTAGGGTATTGTTGCTAAATAATAATAGTACGCTATAGGTCGTGGTGTCTGTTCTTGACGGCTGGGTCTTTCAGATTCGATGGAAGTATAATAACAAATATACTATTCTTCAGTTCAAATTATTTTGTATATGGTACTAGTTTATTTCTGAGATGGTTTCTTTTTTGTTTATTTCATGGGTTTAATTCTTGACTAAATAAAGATGTTGCCCAGTCTACAGGATGATTTGGTTTACTCTCTTAAATCAAAGTGTACTACACGTAGCTGAATCTGAAAGTGAATCTCATTACTTTCTGTTTCCAGAGATTTACAGTCCAATCGGATAACAGGGATAGAACCACGTGCTTTCAAGCCTCTAGAATCTCTTATTGATTTGTAAGTATTTGTTTATATGTACTTCCATATTTTTCAACTTCTTAAAAAAGTTGAAAAAAATCTTGTCTCCAGAACGATGGTGTTTAGGGATCTAACATGTTTTCAAAAAACAATTTTAATAATTTTAAACTTCAAAATGGAACCAAAGAATGTTTCAAATGGGCATAATGTGTGACAAAAAAGTAATAATCTTAAAATATTCCAGAAACCTAGCAGAGAACACCTTTTCAAGACTTCCTACAGAGGGTTTGAACCGTCTTAAATTTCTGAAGACGTTTCACAACACAAACTTGCAGGAACGCATCGATCCTGAGAACCTCCCTAACATTCAGAACCTTGTTTTATCTTATGCCTATCACTGCTGTAGCTTCATCAACGCCAGAAAGGCCGATGTAAGTGACAGGTGAAGCGAGATCCAAAGGTGGTCATACTCTAAATGAGTATTTGATAAAGAAGGGGTTTAAAGGTGGGGCAAGTAGAGTTTAGGGATTGTGATGGTGGGGAAAATTTGAAAAGAGTATCAGTAGTGCAAACACTCAAGAGGACGTATTGCATAACCTTGTAATTCATCTAAACCTAAATGTTATTTTGTATTCATATTTGTATTGGAATAATAGAAAAATATAATTAAAATCATTATATATTAATATAATAATAGAATTAAAGATAAGTTTTGGCTTTATAATGGAGGAGCCGTATTTATCAAATAGGAATAAAAAAAAATATTGCATTATTGCTTCAAATGTATTTAAATCATATAGATGTACAAAAACATAATTGTCGTTGATGAAAACTAAATTAAAAACTTCAACAAACGTATTAATTTAAAAATATCATAATATTAATGAGGTAATTCATATCATGAAATGTTCATTGATCTTAATGACAGATGTTCATATCAAGTTGATGTAGTTTGATTTCAAGGGTGGATCAAAGGTTACAGTAGACGAAGAAGTGATTTGGTTGCATACTCCAAATAAAACAGATCACAGTTTGTGGGACCACCAGACATTTTTCTCTCTCGGTAATACCAGTATATTCTTTGGGGGAAAACTATACACTAAACCATTCTAAATTAACATTTTTAACAATCTATTGCGTTTAAACGCAATAATTTTGCGTTTAATCGCAATAATCTTTGCGTTTAAACGCAATAATCCTTCCTTTCAAGGATTCATTTTGCATTTAAACACAATGATACTGTAGTTTCAAAATCAGACATCAATAAGCCAAAGCTTATCATTGCTAGGATCCGATACTTCAAATTTTTGCAAAATTTTCCAGTTTTTGAAAATTGTAGTAAAACGACAGCATCCTAACAACCAGAATGTCTTTAATATATTAGAACCCAACACTGAAGCCTTTGGTCAATTGCTTACGTATCACAACTAATTAAGAACGTTTCAGTGGTATTAATAGCACTTGTCAATTTGGTAGTACACATCGATCAATCTGTTTTCATTTGATTTTGATCTCATATGATTCCATCACCTATGTTCTTGTGCTTACTGTATGCAACCATAGAAAAGGTTGTGAATATTCATTTAAGTCTAAATACTTCATCATATTGTACGTAATTCCAACATTTCATCAGTCGTTTCCTGTACCCCTTTATACATGGCTTAAACTTTGTGACCGCAACGTGGGGGATAGTTTTTTTTAACCATTTTTTCTTTTTAGTCTTTTATTCAGAGGATCCATTCTAGAAGTTGTTTCAAAGTAGAAAAAATAACAAAATAGAAAAAGTAATTTGTGATTGTAAGCAACTGACCAAATCTTTATTAAGAATATAGAGATCTAACAAGTTTAAGATATGTCTCGTTCTTAGGTTACCTTTGTTTTTACAACCCGACATTTTTCTTCTCCTCTATAAATTCACATCAGTGGGTTTTCCTTTCAGACAGCGTTTGCTCGGAGGAATCTTATTCCATAAACGAAATATGAAGATAACGAACAGTATTCAATTTCGAAAGTCGAATGAAACGATGCAAATTTGGAGCAGATCAAACACGGACCTCAAAATTTAGAGGTGGAATCAGGTGCCATGGAGGAGTGAGCATCCCCTGCCGACCGGTCACACCCACCGTGTGCTCCTTGTCATGATCGGGAAACAAAAACCGGAAAAATCCGTAGTCAGTTCAATGTATATATAATGGCCCAAAAATTAGTATAAAAAACATCAGTCAGCATTTGACTCAATGATAGGTTGTATCGGCCGAAAAATTTGGGAAAAAGATGACTTCAAACGAGACTGCTGATATCCTTGTTTCGTTAACTTGTTTGTCAATAGCTTGCCTCGTTTTAGAAATTGCTCATACGTAGAGCATGCTCTTGCGTATCGAGTCAACTGAGAGACATAAACCTCATATGCAGGTGATAAGGTTTTATTGCTACATATTACCATTAAGTAAAAAGGATTGATTGATTGTATGCTGTTTTACGTCCCATTCGAGATTTTTTCACTCATACGTCACTACATATAATGAAGGGCTTCAATTTTGACCTTTACTCGGCACTCAGGGCCATTGAGCAGTGAGAGATCTTTATCGTGCCAATGACTGCCGTTAAACGGGACCTCGGTTTTAAGGTCTCATCCGAAGAACCCGCAACTTTCACTTCAAACTGCCGAGCAGAAAGAAATAAAAGATATCTGTAAGCGTGGGTTCATTGCACTCTCTAAGGTTTGATACAAATGGTTGCCTTTAAACAGAAAGATAATTTCGTTTAAACGCAAAATATATTGCATTTAATCGCAAAAGTATTGCGTTTAATCGCAATATTATTGCGTTTAAACGCAAAAATTATTGCGTATAAACGCAAAAAACATTGTGTTTAATCGCAAAATTATTTCGTTTAATCGCAAAAGATTGCGTTTAATCACAATCTTTTGCGATTAATCGCAATGTATATTGCGTTAAAACGCAATATACATTGCGATTTAACGCAATATACATTGCGATTAAACGCAATCTTTTGCGTTTAAATGCAATAAACATTGCGATTAAACGCAACATTTTTTTTCTCTGAACTGACCTCAATGGGCTTCCGTACGATCTTGTACAATGTATTTAATTTTTTTGGTCAATAAATCCATAATAATTATCAGCTGCAAATAAATGTTGGAATACAAAATGCATAACAAAATTCTTTAATTCTTTAAAGAAAATCACACCCTGAACTTCCCTAACTATTTTGAGGATTACGACATACAATTCCCCACATTTGACGGGGACAATAAGATTCCCTCCCTGGAGGCCATTCCGACAGATTCCATGGCACGAGTTCACCCCCCAATCAAGTGCACACCTGTACCAGGTGAGGGAAAACAATCCATGTATATAAAAGTTATTCTTCAATTAAAAATGAATAAGGCCACAGATACGTGTATATGTATTTTATCCTGTTTTAAAGCTACGCTACACATTGACTTCCTACTGCTATATGTTTTCAAAACTTGACCAACAAAGAACAATTAGCTTGAACATTAAACCTTGCGTATTGTGCAGATAAGGAAAAGTGTGTAAATCTTGGAGACGTCAAAAAGAAATAATTTGATATTCCTAATACATTAAAATGCAAAAAATAATACATTTCAAAAATACTCAAGTGCCTGTCTACTAGACTAAGTATACCCTAAGTGCTACATAATGAAAGTTAATTCCAAGTACTTAAAGTGTTAAAGCAAATGATGAAAACATGAGACATCAATGAGAAAGCGATCATCTCAACGGGTCCCCTTTTATTTAATGTACACTGGAAAAGAGGAATTGTAATGGAGACTTTTTATATTCATTTAAGTTTTTATCCTGGTGTAAGGGGGGGGGGACCTGCTACTTATATCCATCCCCCAAAGTTATATACCAAACAACAAAAAATATTTCTACATACGTAGTCTTTTAAATAGAAACAGGGTTTTTTTTCTGAATAAGAAGATAAAGCATAACAAATCTCAGTAAGAAGATAATATAATCGCATTGTGAACTGCAAGATTATTTTTTGCTAGTAACCTATATCATTAACAAGTTTTTCATGTACAATTTCAGGTCCCTTCCTGCCCTGTGATGACCTCTTTGGATGGTGGTCCCTCCGTTGTGGGGTGTGGATTGTTTTCCTCTTAGCTGTTTTGGGAAATGGAATAGTTCTATTTGTCTCAATTACGGCCAGGTCTAAGATGTCCATGGATGTCCCGAGATTTCTTATTTGTAATTTAGCCTGCGCAGACTTCATGATGGGAGCTTATCTTGGAATATTGGCCATTCTTGATGCGTCGACACTTGGTATGACATTTCTCCAATACAATTGAGTTAATTTTCATACAAAAAGCACACTTTATAACGCTCTTGAAAGAAAAAAACTTTGCAATGTTGTTAAAATGATCTTTTCTATTCAGATGAATTTCAGTTTTACGCTATAAAATGGCAGCGGTGTGGCGGTTGTCTTACTGCTGGTTTCCTGGGTATAGTCTCAAGCATGCTGAGTGTCTTCACTCTAACTGTGATCACTGTGGAGAGATTCTATGCCATTTCTAATGCAATGCAGCTGAACAAACGAATACGGCTCAAACAAGCAGGTATTTTTCTTTATTTTCTGATACTGGTAGTTTTATTTCATTCATTGTATATGTAGTCCAATGTCTCATGAAATCGCTTTCAAGTTTTGTGAGTTTCATAAACGTTGTCGTATTACTTTAAGAATTAAAAAAATATATATGTTTTTTGGTTGTTTTTTTTTTTTTTGTATATGTGTATGCATACTTCTCCCCCTAAATTACATATGTTTCTTCTTTTATGAAATACTAGTTTTTTCATAAGAAAAAGTGTGGATTGCTTTCTAGGAATAATAATGACGGTTGGGTGGATTTTCTCGATTACCAATGCCAGTTTGCCTTTTTTTGGAATCAGTGACTATAGGAAATTTGCCATATGCCTTCCATTTGAAACATCAGATAAAGCTTCCTTAGGTAATGTGAAAACAGGACATAAGCATTGCAAAACAAATTCATATTATATTGCTCACGTGTATTTTGTTGTAGTTATCTTTCCTGGTAAAATTCAATTTCGATATTAACGTTTTTTCATGGGTCCTATTGCTCTGATTTAATTGTCACACTTATCATTCTGTAAACTGTTATTTTCCTATTATACTCCAAAAAATTATGTTTTGTCCACTAAATCTTTATGCTCGTCTTTTCCTTTTAAATGATATTTACGTCTAATACTTAATCTAATACTGTTAAGATTTTTTTTAAATTTTGCAGCGTATGTGTGTTTTCTGATGTTTTTCAACGCTGTGTCTTTCATCATCATTGTGATTTGTTATATTAAGATGTATTGTTCCATCATGGGATCCAACGCATGGAATTCCAAAGATTTTCGTATTGCTAAACGAATGGCTATCCTCGTATTCACAGATTTTCTGTGCTGGGCTCCAATTATTTTCTTCTCTATAACTGCCGCCTTCGGAAAGAATCTAATCGGTCTGAATGAGGCAAAAGTGCTGACTATCTTTGTTCTACCTTTAAACAGCTGTGCAAATCCATTTCTTTATGCCATTTTCACAAAACAGTTTAAAAGGGATTGCGTGAAATTGTGTAGAAGAATTGAAGAATCTTCTTTGACTCGCAGTTTTTCAAATCTTAATAGCCGAAGAGTATCCTTTGGTTCGTCTTGGAGACAATCTCAGTTTCAGAGTCCATTCCAAACAGAAAAACGTAGCAGTATTACGAATTCAGTATCTGGTGGCAGCGTTGGAGTGGGAACTGGTCAGCAACAGGAAACTAACAGTGGCTTGTTCGAAAACAACGAAAAATGTAAAGTGGGTGAAATGAGATTTAGTATTGCTGAGAATAATCATCAAAAAGAAACGAGATTACCCGAGCTTGTCAATCCAAATGTTGTAACTTCGTCAGTTGGCGGTACTGGTCAGGATACAGCTATCGTCATTCATCTAAATGACCAGAGTGACCAGATGTTGCAAGTTCATACGAAAGAAAGTGAAAAGTGTCAAATAGATTCGAACAGCAAATCCCATCCAAAACGGCTGCACACTCGTGCGACTCAGATAAGGAGTGCCGCGGATGAGGACGTGTCGTCGGAAGAGGATAATGATGAAACACTGCTTAGGCAAGTTACCGATATGCCAAAACGTTCTTTTATGGATCATTTTAAGAAACGCAAGGTGAAAAATGATTCACTTGGTTTGACTTCTTTATTGATAAAACAGCATGGACGATCTGCACCCAATGTTCAAATGCCCGAAAACAAAGGAACTCTTCTTCTACCGACGACAAGCAGCACTGATAAAACTTCACATATAAATGAATGGAGAAAATCTTCACATTTGAATTACATATGGAGCAATTCGCAGGACATGGAACAAAAGTTTCCATCTTATAAATCTAACAGTTTAGTAGACTTATCCTTCGCCAAAAAGGGATTTGAAGGATCTCCATGCAAGAGGCGAAGTTTATCGTCACATCATGAGGGGTATTTGATGTTGAAGAACAGTAACAGAGATTCTGCATACGAGGATGAAGAGGAAATGATAGAATATAATAACTGCAAAACATTTAAAGTGAGTCACTCCAAACCTGTGACTCCTCAACATACGTCGCATTTACCTTACTCTGACGAAAAGTTCGAACTTCAAAACTGTGAGAAAAGACAAACGATGGGTGACGTCTGTCAATCAAATGCCAGCGAACGCAGTCAGTTACTTTCCGTGTCAAACACTTGTTCCCCGAGACGCGAAGTATGTGATAAAGAAAGTGGTTTTAGTTCCGAGGCTTAGTTTCATTATAAAGAGTATAATATCGTCATTACTCGGTGCTGAAAATTTGTAAGCCGAGTGTTCAATAAATAAGAAAATACAGTAGTTTCAAGTCTTAGTTGCTTACATGGCTAATACAATTAAAAAAGATTTCTTTAAAAACTAAAGTTGCATCAGAATAATTCATATTTTCCGCTTCAAAATATCAAATTCAAATTAAAACTGTTATAAACTAGAGGTACTGTGAGCTCACAAAATACCGCCTCCCATATGTTTGTAATGGCATAGTCCATGTTTGGCTAAGGGAGACCCAAAATAAGTGTCCGATCAAAAATTGAAATAGTTGGTGCACAATGGAACTATGTAATAAAGATTACTGTGAAAGTATCATTAAATTTTATTCAGTGGTATAGGGGGAGTTGCGGATAAGAGATGGGTACCCCTCAATATTATAGAAGGAATGACAGTGTTCTTTGTTATGCTATTTGAAACCCGAAATATGTGTCCGAACAAAAAGTAAAATAGGATGTACACGATGGCACTATGTAATAAATTATGTGAAAGTCTCATTAAAGTTTATTCAGTGGTATGAGGAGTTGCGGATAAGACATGGATACCCCAAAGCATAACGGATGGACTTCATAGTTTTAAATCTTCTCCTCTGCTCCTGGGTATTAAGCAAACAAACTAAATGCATAGTTATAATGAGCATATGTGCCTCTTTCAAAATTGTTAATTTCATGGTCCCTGGGTCAGGGCTTCTGTTGTTAGGGCGGGGCTCTGTTGAATATATAGTGAAAATGCATTAATTCTTTGAAAACCTTCTTCTCTGCTCCTGGGTATTAAACAAAATAAATGCATAATTATGAAGGGTGCCTCTTCAAAAATTGTGAATTTCATGGCCCCTGGGTCAGGGGTTCTGTTGTTAGGGCGGGGCTCTAATGATTATATAGTGAAAATGAATTAATTCTTTAAAAATCTTCTCTGTTCCTGAGTATTCAGCCGATGAAATAAGTATATAGTTATGATGAGGAAGGGTTCCTTTTCCAAAATTGTGAAAGATGTGGCCCCAGGGTCAGGGGTTCCGGGGGGGGGGGGCTCTATTGATTACATGTATCTAGTGAAAATGCATTAATTCTTTGAAAATCTTCTCTGCTCCTGAGTATTAAGCAAACAAACTAAATGCAGTAATATAAATGTAAATTTATAAATATCAATAAATGTCCGTCTTCTCTGCTCCTGGGTATCTAGAAGGAATCGGACTTCAAAATTGTATTATAAGTGTATCTAATGGGAGTTACTCCCCTTTGCTAAATCCTATTAATTAAGAAACCGCTATATATAATTTAATTAACAGGTTTTTTGATTGATTGAGAATACAAGAAAGAATGTTATATATATAGAAACCAATAAAAATGAATGAATGGTTTAAATTAGCAAAGCAAAGTCAGCTCCTTGCCTGTAAAGCAACATAAAAGATTGACATAAAGATTATTTATGTAGCAAAATAGCCAATTGTAAAGAGTATGGGTATACTGTGGTGTATTGATTAACAATTGATGAGTTATTGTCAGGTAAAATTATGGAGACCATAGACTAGTTGGTACATGACTGCTCTAAGTTGTTTTACTTTATCAGTAACCAAATGATCACAGAGAGCCAGGCTGACTAGGGGACATGTTGTAGTTTGTCACAAGAGGCAAATAGCCATGTTATATAACCAAGTGGCTAGTGTTGGTAACTGTATATATTAAATACCTTACACACTAGGCAAGTGTCCATTGTATTTGTATATTTTGCATTCATTATCATCCTCGTAAGACTTAGGCACACCAAGTATGATCCCTAGGAGATTGCTCAGGTCTCACATGTTACAATAAGCAAGGGTATTTTTACCAGATTTTTAGCTCATCTCAACGAAGTTGGGGGAAACTTATGTAATACCTTCGGCATTAGTGTCGGCGTCCCAGGTTAAAGTTTTTGGAGCAGATTTCTTTTCAAGTACTTCTATGCCATACATTAATCAAAGATGCATTGGGGATGCTTCTAGTATGTTTCACTATACCAGTCAAGGTTTCAGATGCTACAATTTCAGCTAAAGAATGATCAGGTTAATGTTTTTGGAGCAGGTTAAAGTTTTTGGAGCAGGTTAAAATTTTGGAAGTTTTTGAAGCAGATCTCATTTACAAGTAACTATAAGCCCTATATTGACCAAACTTGCACAGATGATACATCTGCACCCTGCTGGATTTGCTTCGGATGCTGGATCTGACCTACGTTTTCCGTATGACTGACCAGATTAAAGTTTTTGGAGCAGATCTCATTTTTAAGTAACTGCATGCCCTATGTTGACCAAACTTGCATGGATGATACTGTATTATATCTAAAGATGCATACTACAGGGCTCTGGATGCTGGGTCTGACCTACATTTTCTGGATGAGTGACCAGGTTAAAGTTTTTTTTTTTATAGCAGATCTCATTTTTAAGTATCTATAAGACCTATGTTGATCAACTTGCATGGATGGTACATCTAAGGATGCACACTACTGGACTTGCTTCAGATGCTGGATCTGACCTACATTTTCCAGATGAGTGACCAGGTTAAAGTTTTTGGAGCAGGTCAATTACCAAGAAACTATAAGGGCTATCTGAACCAAACTTGTATGGATGATGCATCATGGGATGAACACTTTTAAACTTGCTTCAGATGCTGGATTTGACTTGCATTTTCTGGATGAGTGACTAGTTTAAAGTTTTAGATAAGTCAATTCCCAAGTAATTGCAAGCCCTATGAGACCAAAATTGCATAAATGTTACACCTGGGGATACACTCTACTAGATTTTTAGTTTAGTATGAGACTTTGCCTTACTTAAAGACAACTTTCGTTGAGGTGAGCCTCTGTAATCTCTGATTACCTATGTTTGGAAATTCTTGGGCTTTCATCTTTGCTTTATCTTTCAGTTAATTTTGCTTTATACTTCTATGGATCCTTTACAGTGGTGTATTATACTCATGAGACCGTTAAGGCCTTTGGGCCTCTTGTTATTCATATATTTAACCATCTGCTTGAATTACTCCAGTATGATTTGCGCATCGTCTTTGCTCGAACTTGAAGATGTAAATCATTACATTATACTTGCAACAGTGGAATATAAGAAGCATGTGCCTATGATCAGAGGATATCTGTTACAACTATGATCCAGAGTGTGTAGGCAATAAAAAAGAAATTCTGTTTAGGAAAAATTGCTTCGTAATGAACATAAGAAGCTGTTAAATGTCAATGCGAAGGCGTGCATCTAATGACGGACAAAAATACAAATTAATCCAGGCCCAGGGAGAAAAAATATATATATGAATTATTTTACTCTGACTCGGTTAAATCAGAAACATGGAAGAATGGATTTGACATAAAGTGTCAACAGAGTATATTGTGTTGATAGGTCAGTGACTGTAAGGCCTAATCAGCTTCTTCTTAAGTGTACAAATTATTGAATTTTATATTTTCTGGAATCTATAATTTTAATAATTTTTGTAAGGAGATAACAGGTAATTATAAGCTTTTCAAACAGTTTTTGTGTTAAATACATAAATATCTTAGCCCCAAAGTAGGCACGAAAAACACAAATTTCACAAATTTGACCGAGGGTTAGGCCTAAAATAAAAAGAAAAATGTTTGTTTGCAGTTGCCTACCGACCCACTGAAAATCACCCAAACTTTTTTCACCTATTTTGTATAACTATTTTTTTTAAGTTTCAAGCTTTCAGGATATTGAAACTGTTTCTTTTCTATTTTTGATTTTTGTTTTTACCAATCAGTGGCTTATAACAAGTGGAGCTTATTCATGATTGGAAAGCCTATTTTTGTTATCTAATAAAAAAAAATCTCAGAACTACAATCTTTTTTTTTCAAAAAAAAAAACAAAAACAAAAACAAAAACAAAAAAAAAACAAACAAAAAAACACCTACCTGCCTACGCTTTCTAAAATTATAGGTCGGCAACTGCAAACAAAGAACTTTTTAAGCTTGGCCCAGTATTTTATGAATTATTTTATATAATTATATGTGAGAGCAAGGTTAAAAGGAAGATCAAAACCACAAAATTCTAGAAATTAAGTTTATGTGCAGTAACCTGGATGTATTTGTGTCAGATAGATAAGCTTAGAGGAAAGTAAGAAAACACGATGTCATATTCTAAAAATTCTAGCACACATAACTGGACTGCACTCCTAACAATACACTTATATAGGAAGTAATGCAAATATAGATCTCCTTGTAGTATTCAGGAAAATGCATTCTAAATGTTGATCAAGACGTTTTGGGGCCAGGTCTTAAGAAATTCAAGATCTAGATCTTCAAACAAGAAGTGTTTGTTAAACTATAATGCTCCCGAAGGATTTACAATTATCTAGAACAGCCTGGGGTAAATGCCATTTAGGGTTGGACATCCTTCTTTACATTTGTCACGGACCATATATCAAGTTTGATAAGTTATTACGAGGGTGGTCACAGCCGCCGAGTATCATAAAGACTTGAGCAAGTCAAATACTTAATTGTCTCACTTCATGATTTTGCAAATGAAGTTTCAAAGAAGGAATACATGTATATGGTTGATTACTAATTTTAATAACAGTGTCACATAGTTAATAGCTCTAAATTGCAACTCTTTCTATAAAGGGGACACTGTGTAGAAATCGACTAGGGTAAAGTGCGTTACCCTAGTCCAAGATGGCGACAGGCAAATACACTTCAAATTTTCTTGAACAAATATTGATGACTTCTATCGTAAATTATTATTTTATCTTGCACCAATTTGTTTCGCAGCATCAGTTTTATATGTTTACTGGGAGACCGTATGAAGCTTTCGCGTAATTAACAAGAAAACGCACCTCAAACTTTTGCTTTAAATAAGGGTATTTAAAGTTAACGAAGTGTTTCCTAACGAGACTAGGTATTTATTCTACAACCTGGTTTTGCACTGTTTTGATTTTTTAACTACATTATACAATTACTGAAGTTGAAAACAACTTTCTAGAAAATATTCACTACTATTGCTTCCACTAAAATAATTAAAACCACACACTTTGCATACAAAATATCATACTCTAATTTTGAACAGCATATTTTCCGTTTTGTATACAGTGTACATTTATCATTTTATCGTTTTATAAATATAGAAATGGTGTAATTGTTTTATTTGTTGTGCCTTTAAATATTGTTGCTTGTATAATATCTTACTCGTGATACAGATGCTGGATTATTGTATGAAGATTTTCTATCACGCAAGCATTTGTACTGCTTCATTGTTCTCAGCTATAATTTCAAAACCGAAATATTAATAGTGGCCTTTCAAAAATCTAGATAATTGGCATTTAAATCGTGGAGCGTATTTAGGGGGTCAAAAATCTCAGAGAAAGGATCAGGTGCCATGGGGAGTAGTCATCCCCTTTCGAGTGGCTACATTCGCCATGTGTCCCTTGGGTAAACGGAAGATGTGTTCATAATTCAGCATGAAAATAATGTTGTGACCTAACAATTTGTCTAAAAGACGTCGGTTCTGTCAACATTCGACCTAACGACATAACGTATTTCCAAATAAGGCCATCGTATTGACCACAGAATTTATGAATGTTGGCTTTAAATGAGATTGTTTATACTCTTTCATCATAAATTTATTCATCAATAGCCCTGCCTCATTTTAGAAATTATCCGTACCTACCACGTGCTCTTGATTATCAAATCAACTGGGAAAGCTGAAGGCTTTCATAAAAAAAAGTGTGCAATTCGTTTTTTTAAGATTCATTTCTCGATGAACAAAATAATTTATAGAGTCAATGCTTATGATTCAGTTTCAGTGACAAACTTGCTACTGTTAATGTACATACTCGTTATTTAGCTGACTCTAAAATTTATGCACGAAATAAGTAAATTTCATGATTCAAGGGGACGGTTCCAAAAGCTCATAGTACACAAGGCGGGTATAATTTTCTTATAAGTTATAAAAGTAAAGAATTGTCCGTTGAAATATTGTCTGTAAAATAATTTCCTAAGTGACCAGTAACTTATGAAAATCTGCACGTGCAATTTTCAAATCGAATGCAACATAACGCTGGCAGAAACTTGCTTTGTTGTCAATAAGCCATCGGTCAATGTCACAAGTCAAGTGGAGTGCCACGGAAAATAAGAAAGAAATGTCTTCAGGTTTAGATAATTTAAATTTCTGGAAATTAACTTGCTTGTCGATACACATTAGTACATGTACAACCTGATTAAAATTGTCAGTTAACACCTCTATAAAGACGAAATACAATGTACAAACAGTCAAAAAGTGAATAAGACTCACATCAAGAGAAAACTTCGTCTAAGGTCCGTTTTAATTAGTCTTTATAAGCTACGCAAGTTTTTTTTTTTCATTTTTTTCTAGTTGCTCTTTCAATTGTACTAAATTCAAAGTAACTTTGTATGGAACGCCAAATTAACATATATTCAAATATTTGTACCTATCTTCAAAAACATGTAATATTATTGTACCTATCTTCAAATCAATTGTACAGGGTCTATCTCAAAATTAATTGAAGATAGGTTTAATTCAATTATACCTTTCTTTAATTCATTTAATTTGGAGATAGGTACAATTGAATTGAAGATAAGTACAAATACCAAGAATTAAAGATAGGTATTGACACGTCTGAATTTTGTGTCTTTTTGAACGTGTTCTATAATTGGGGAATATTTCCTTTATTTTGGGGGAAAACTCGCTTTGTCTGTGTTTGAACTCCTTGGTGTCAGCTCTGCTGACGTAGATTCTAGATCTATCTGTCGTGGCTGTAATTCCAAAGGAAAAATAAGATTATAAAAATTTACAACTTTATTCAACAAGGCGTCGCATGGAAGTGTTAGTCACAAACAACAGTCACCAGTTACAATTAAAATACAAAATGATTTAAGTTTATGAAGATACATCTGGTGACTGTACAGAGGGGTGAACAATATATGTAACAAAAATACCCTCTGAAATTCATTAATTCAAAATAATTTTTAACAATCGAGGAAACTCGAACTTACTGCATTTCGACAATTAAACGTTAATAAATTTACACACATCAAAGGTCGTTAACAAAATAATATTAAAATAAACTCTGCATTACAATCAATTATTAATCTGAACTCATAACATTCTAAAAGGATTAATGAAGAATATTGTAAGTAACAACAAAATTTATTTTTAAATAAAATTTGTGGAAAGACAGTATAATTGATTAAAAGATAAGTGCAATTGAATTGGACCTAGGTATAATTGCTTTATACCTATTTTTAATTCCTTTGTGGAGATGTATTAATTGTACCTATCTCTAAATCAATTAAACCTATCTGTAATTGAATTGAACCTATCTATAATGGAATTAAAGATAGGTTTAATTCATTTGAACCTAGGTTCAATTTAAAGATAGGTGTAATAATTTTTACCCATCTTTAATTCATTTATACACATCTCTAATTCAACTGTACTTATCTTCAATTTATTTGAAGATAGGTTCAATTATTTGAAGATAAGTTCAATTATTTGAAGATAGGTACAAATATTTGAATATATGTTATTTGGCATTCCATAATTTTGTTACTTGTGAAGACAATACGTTAAACACGTCCTTCTTTATAGAGTTATATGGTATCCCTTACAATCACCAAAAAACGACAGCAATTGTATCACTTAATAATAAATTTACTTTAAAATTTTAATTTTTTTCAACTTACATGTAACAAGATTTTTAAAAATAAGAACACATGATAAAAAATATTTTTTCTAAGGATAAATATTTTTTTTTCAGAAATCAGCAATATTTCTTAGAGATTTATCTTCAAATAGGTAAAATTGCTCGATCTTAATCAAAACAGAACATGACCTAGATATTCTTATGATACTGAATTCCGTATACCAAATCTCATTTCAGTATGTGCAACGCAGGTGAGGATCCAGGAATTTTTTCCAGTGGGGGGGGGGGGGGGGCATCCCAGTAAAAAAAAAAACCCAAACATTCTAACCCAAAAAATTTCTTGACAAGCGAAAAAAAGAAGCTAAAATCCATATCTCGTGTGGTGATGATAGGGTCAACGTTTCCTAGGGGGGAAGGGGTCCAAAGTCATTTTTTTGCTTCACTATATACGTTTAGTAACTCTGCAAATTCTCCGGACCCCCCCCCCCCCCCCCTTCTAGATCCGCGCATGCAACCTCTGTGAAGAAAATGAACGGAAACTGCAAATAATTGGAATTTTTCTAAGTCCAAGGGGCCTAACTCTGTCAAAAATTGCTCGATCTTACTCAAAATAGAACTTGATCTAAGATATTCTTATGATACATCTGTATACCAAATTTCATTTCAGTATGTGCTTGCAACCTCTGCAAAGGAAATGAACGGAAACTGCAAATAATTGGAATTTTTGTAAGTCCAAGGGGCATAACTCTGTCAAAAATTGCTCGATCGTACCCAAAACAGAACTTGATCTAGTCCAAGGGGCATAACTCTGTCAAAAATTGCTCGATCGTACCCAAAACAGAACTTGACATAGATATTCTCATGATAAATCTGTATACCGAATTTAATTTCAGCATGTGCAACCTGTGAAGAAAATGAACGGAAACTGCAGAAAAATGGAATTTTTCAAAGTCCATGGGGTACAACAAAAGTTGCTCCATCGTACCCAAAACAAAACTTGACCTAGATATTTTTATGATAAATCTGTACATCAAATTTCATTTCAGTAAGTGCAACCTCTGCGAAGAAAACAATGAACAGAAACTGTTGGTGGACAGACAGACAGCAGCAAAGCAATCTTCATAGGGGGCATAAAAAGTAGTTCAGCCACTGAAGTTCACATTAAATTAATTGGAAAATGAAAAGAACAATCTCTCCGTAGGAATTCATTATTTCAAAGTGATGAAAGTAAGTAAAATTGAATTATAGTTTGATATGCATACTTGCCAACTCCAAATTTTACCTACAACAGTTCGAAAGTTCGAGCAAATTATTAAAATTTTTTCAAGCAGAACAGACAGGACAGCAATAATGCTCCCAGTTTCAGTTTTGGGGACATAAAAACTAGATTCACTCACAAGTATCTGGGGATTTGCACAATGGAACCATTTCTTTTAACACCACAGAGGAAATATAGCATGATGGGAGACATATATTAACTTTAATACTAACAGCACAGCAAAATGAACACTCAAATGACTTTTTAAAATGCTTTATTTATCATCATCATGGGACCAGAATTATGTATGGTAACTCAACACAAAACATACACAGGAAAAGACGGTGAACCCATCACTATACAATTTATCATATGACTGTACACGTAATAATGTGTCCAAAATCAGTAAGTGGTAATATGAGATATTACATGATGTACAACTCTTTTCAAGATCAGTAACTCTGTTGAAATATCAAGGCAACGCACTTGAAATGCAAACTTTGTTACCTGTTTAGCATTGACACACTAACATCATTCCTAATAATAGACAAAATTTACAATCACTTAATGAGTCTATGGTTTTTCAAACAATTGAAAAGTAAAATGACACTCATAAATTAATATGATTATCTATCTACAAATCAGTAAAGTAGAAAAATAGTTGTCTTCATATAATACTTTCCCTGCGGTGAACATTATGTTGATTGGAAAATACCGTTTTTTTCATTGAGTTTTTAAATCTGCAATTTTTTTTATATTATCAACGGGACAAAGTCCATTACTGTTCACATATAAAGGAAATCATAACAATTTTCTCAGAAACATAAAAAATTCAATGACCATATTAAAAGAGTGGCATCAAAAGAACAAAATGTTATCATAATTAAAAACAATGGTAAAAAAAAAACTATGTGCCACAGTATCAGTGAATATGAACGGGAGAGGCATCAGGATCGTCTTCGTATCGCTTTTTCTTCTTCTTCTCTCCTGGTCCCCCATCTGATGCATCACTCACAGGTGTGTCTGTCCTGGTGTCAAGGTCATCCAGAATATCAAAATAACAGGGCAAAAACTTCTGTACAAGACGTTCAAACTCTTCATCTAGCATTTTGCCTTGGTCATATATTGGAGTTCCAACCTTAAGGATATTAAATTACAACTCATTATTGTTTAGTTTTAAAATGGAATTCAAAAAGGCACTAAAAATCCAAAATAAATTATTTTAAAGCTAAAATATATTATAAACCATTTAAAAATGACATCCTTTTTTTTTTAGCATATACACACATATAAATATAATGTATACATACAGAATTGTAAGTAACACAGTTCTTGAAGACCAGTTTACAATCACTTAGGAATTCCTCTACTGTATTATAGTGGTTGAAATTCTGTCTTTGTAGCTTAGATCTTATCTTTGAAAAATCTATTGGTCTGGTTATGATTTTGTAATAGTTTGGCACCTTCAAAGAGAAACATTCATTTACAGTGCAGCAGAATTTTGTTGATACATTCACAAACTTTGGATCTTTTCTTTCTGGAGTAAAAAATTATTTTAAGAAAATTGCATATGACCTGGTTATGTGCAAAGTTACTGAAAACTAGCAATACCAAACAATATTTTTCAACTCTTTTAAATATCTCAAATTTATTTACTCTGCTCTCCCAAACAATTTTAAAACAAGAAGGCCAATTGGATACATTGTGCTCACCCAAGGAACTTTGGCACTGATGTTTTTTAAAAGATTTTTTTTTTATTCTTTTTTGTTTTTACAAAAAATTCTGACCTCACATCAACTCCAACGGGTCATGACATACAGTACCAACCAGACCCAACCTGACACAAAGCAGTCCCAGAGCAGTCCCGGGGACTGCTTTCTGGGACTGCTCTGGGACTGCTAAAGCAGTCCCAGAGCAGTCCCACAGCGGTCCCAGAGCAGTCCCAGCGGTCCCAGAAAGCAGTCCCAGCAGTCCCAGTGGGCGGGGTTAATTAATTTAAAGGGCGGAGCTTACTCAGAAATGAGATTACCAATAAACAATGTAACTATAAAAGGCAGTTGAAATTGATGATCCATTTCTTTCTGAGCAGTATCAATTCTCATGCGACAGTCATTTTTTAACTGTTAAGAAAATCACACTACACGTACATGTATATAGAAACAAATAATAAATATTGAACAAAGAAGACGTTCACACCTATAAATAACATGAATATTTAAACACAGTTTTGTGGTATATTAATTTTTCACCAAAATAAATCAATTTCTAAATTACTGTGATTGATATTGGTTTCCATGTTTATTTGTTTTTTTTTATTTTTTTTTTATAGATAATTAAGCTTGAGTTATTTATTTTCTATCAAAACTAGCTTTAAATAGGCCTTATAATTATATAGCAAGGCCGATTTCCATACTATACTCTGAATGCAGTTTTCTTAAGTACTGGAGCTTTTGAAAAATTCTTTGTGTATTATATTTCAGTCATGATTATTTTCACTGACTTGCCAATTTAATTATCGTTAAATTATCTATGTAACAGAAAACAATAATACTTTTATTATATAAACGTTTGAGTGTACATCTGTAAATCACGCGAATGGAACCCTTATGTTCAAAATTAATTAATCCCGAAATAAATAATTTTATACACATCTATTGAAACGAAGATTTTTTGCAGTACATAGATTGAAATTATTGTCATTGTTGACCAGCATGTTCAGTGATGTGTAACACTGATACCCAAATAACATGCATTCATGCCCGAAGGTGATTGAAACTTCAGGTGTTGACACCATTTTATACATTTGTATTGCTTTTTATTAATCGGCCAGGAAAACACAAACAAAACAAATAAGAAATAAGTCACAATTCCCAATATTTTAAAATGTTTATAAATTTACTCTTTTAATTACTTGTTTATAAATCAAAAACAAATTCATAAATAAATCCCCCAATAATTGTTCACAAATATAATTTGTAAAATGACTGAAGAATGGTAGAATAATTTTATTTCATGGTCATTTAATAAATTATTAGGTTTTATTTGAGGGCGAAAAAAAATAGCAAAGAATGCTCTTTTTTAGCATGCATATGGTTTTAGCTTTTTAAATTTAAAAAAAAATCCAGTGCGGTACGTCCCTCTGAATGTCTTATTTTAATGACAAGTTTGTTTGTTTTTTTTTTGTTTGTTTTTAAATAGTGCTAATGCAAACTTTGAGTACATTCCGTAACTTGACAGCATTAATTAATTAAATAGGCCTCGATATTTTTTTTTCAAACACCTGTATTAAAGTTTTAATTAGCATTAATTAATTAAATAGGCCTAGATATATTTTTTTTCAAATACCTGTATTAAAGTTTAATTCAAAGGATAAAAGTCATCTCCTGACTTCCCTTTTAACTACTTTCATTTTTTAGATTTAATTCTAGACTACAATTGTGTAAATTTACACCCCCTGAAGACATTTAGTAATTACATGTATATCTATCTCTACTTATTAAAAAATCCTTGTTTTTTTTTTATTCTTGATCTTAAACACCTCTCTGCTGAAAGTAAACAAAACAACAACAGGGAGCCTGCAAATTCAGAATACACAAGGGGCGGAGCTATCATGTCACTCAGAACCTTTTTCATGCATGAGTGAACAAAGCAGTCCCAGAAAGCAGTCCCAGGGACTGCTGGGTCTGCTTTCTAGAGCAGTCCCAGAGCAGTCCCACAGCGGTCCCAGAGCAGTCCCGGGGACTGCTTTCTGGGACTGCTTAGGTGTCAAGTTGGGTCTGGTTGGTACTGTACCTTCAGATCACAAACAATTTTGTGCTAAGTATGAACTTCCAGTGAATCTCTATAGCAAATTTAAGGCCTAGACAAGATTGCATGGACAGACAGATGGACAGACAAGGCGATTCCTTAATCAAACAGATGAACAGACAAAGTGATTCCTAAATACCCCCTAAACTTTGTTTGGGAGGTAGGGGTATAATTATGAACAATCTGATTCATGATTTTAGCATCACCCTAACCCTCAAGTCCATTATTTGAGAAAACTTCAATTCACACAATTTGAGAATGTTTGAATATAAATGATTAAATTTGGACCTGCTTTTTTTGAAAACTTTTCTTTTCTAAACATCTCCCTATTTTAGCTCCACCCTAAAAACATGGGGCCATGGCTTGAACAAATCTGAATCTGTACTGCATTGGAAAATTTAATCAAAGTCCAAACCAAGGAGATACTGATGACTAGAAAATTGTGAAAATTAATTTTTTTATCAAAATTGAGGAATACATCGAAACCATGAGAATCTGTCATACATACCAATTTACTAACAGGTTCATGAAACACAGCACTGTCTTTGTTGGTATACAGCTCTAACAAAATTCTCTCACAAGCCTGTAAAACAAACATAATGTGTATAGTTAATTGTCTATATCTAGAATAAATGATATCTTTACAAGCATAACAATCAATTTCATCCTCAGTTTATAAACTCAGTAGTAGCAGTAGTAGAACTCAAGTTCAAATTGGCTATATTTCATGGTAGATTTGAGAAAAAATGCAATCCATAAAATAATTATTCTCTCTTTTCAAGAAATGATGCTGACATAAAAACCATGTCATGTTTTGCAACAAAGGAAAAAAAACCACCAAATATCATGGAATGCAATAGAGTATACTGAATTTTAATTTTCTTTTAATTTTTAAACATGGTCTATTATAAACTTGCATACCGAGCTCTTTTTTCTGTTACCATGGTTATGTATAATCCTGCCTACCCTGAGCTCCTTATCTGTTTAACCATTGGTTTGCATAATCTTGCCTATTCAGCACTCCTTTTCTGTTAAATCACAGTATAATCTTGCCTATTCAGCACTCCTTTTCTATTAAATCACAGTATAATCTTGCCTATTCAGCACTCCTTTTCTGTTAAATCACAGTATAATCTTGCCTATTCAGCACTCCTTTTCTGTTAAATCACAGTATAATCTTGCCTATTCAGCACTCCTTTTCTGTTAAATCACATTATAATCTTGCCTACTCAGCACCCCTTTTCTGTTAAATCACAGTATAATCTTGCCTATTCAGCACTCCTTTTCTGTTAAATCACAGTATAATCTTGCCTACTCAGCACTCCTTTTCTGTTAAATCAGAGTATAATATTGCCTATTCAGCACTCCTTTTCTGTTAAATCACAGTATAATCTTGCCTATTCAGCACTCCTTTTCTGTTAAATCACAGTATAATCTTGCCTACTCAGCACTCCTTTTCTGTTAAATCACAGTATAATCTTGCCTATTCAGCACCCCTTTTCTGTTTAATCACAGTATAATCTTACCCACCTTGAGTTTTTTTCTCTGTTAAACCTGGGTGTTTATAATCTTGCTTACTCTGAGCCTTCTCTCTGTTTAATCTGGTTGTGAATAATTTTGTATACCCTGAGTCTTTTTTTCTGAGTATCCTAGGTGTGTAAAATCTTGTATACCCTTTGCCTTTTCTCTTTTTAACCTGGGTGTGTATAATCTAGCCTACCCTGATCTTTTTCTCTGGCTACCTTGTGTGTGTATAATCTTCCTTACCCTGAGTTCTTTCTCTGTGAGTCCTGATGGTGCCTTTCGTTTTCCTGGACCCATTGTAAAGTCTTTCTTTTCAATCTCAGTCAACACCATGTCATCAGCTTTTGTACATAAAGTACACTGCCACTCATCACTACAAGCACATAAAATATGTAATTGAAAGCGCTCCTTTTTCACACAAAGAATAAAATTTGCAAATAAGAAAACACTACTACACCAATATATCAATTTACCAACATTTTAAAAAATCCATGTTATCACATTCACCCCCCCCCCTTCTCTCTCTCTCTCTCTCTATATATCTTGTTACTGGGTGGTAGAATACACAGTAGAAACTATATATGAATTTTCAATACTTCAGGAACACCAAAATGTATATTGTTTTGGCTTAATTTAATTTTAAAAATATACCCTACTAAATTATTTTTAAAAATATAATAATTGTATGTTTAAAATTCATTTGTTATTTTTTCTCCTAGCAACATTCATTTGCATTATTTAACTTTCTACGTCACAATGGCTTTTACGTTTATTAAGCACACCAGTTCTGAAAGGCGCTAATTTCATTACAAAGATTAATTAAATTAACAATTATGAAGAAGGAAAATAAGAGAATGTAAATATAAGCATTGAATTCTTATTTTGTGATGTCGTAGGTCCTATAACAGCACTTGTCCGTGCCGACGAATTATCATACTGCACTAACATATGGAATACAATTTGTCGGCACGGCCAGGTGCTGTTATAGGACCGACGACATCCAAAAATAAAAATTCAATGCTTAAATATATACACACACATAAAAATGGACAATTCAAACTGGTTAATGTCAATAAACCAGGATAAGAAAATAAATGAAAATATTGGTTATCACCATTAATTTACAAAGTGGGACATGTTTTAAGACACTTATTAGAACAGTAGCACCTTTTTCAATCTAACCACACACAATACCTTCTATTACCTTGGAAATTCTTTAAGTTCAGGGATGTGACACTTGAGATGATAAACTTTGGGGCACTTGTCACAGCACAGAAGGTCTCCTCCATTCTGACACACAGCACAGTAATCCTCATTAGGGTCATCCTCTTTACTCTCAGGCATTTGTTTCCCTTGGGATGGACTTGGAGTGTTATTACTTTGTAAATTACTGGTGTGGATCAAGGGAGGTGGAGGAAGTGGGGAAGCTCGTGGAGGGGGTGTGGTCATGTGCCTCTCTTGCAAGGGAGACTAAATAAAACCATAAAAGCTAACATTAATTTCTATACACAGTTGAACACGGATATCTCCAATACCAAGGATATGTCGAAGTGATTTTGAAGTACCAAGCGCTTATTTCTTAAGTATTTTTCTTGGATATCTCGAATCCTCAGATACATGTATCTTTAAGTATTTTCTTGGTCCCGTGAAGTTCGAGATAATGAGGTTTGACTGTATATTCATATATTTTAAAATATATAATATTATAAATACATGTATTGCAATTTTTTGTTAAAACTGAACAAAATGATAACCAACTAACAGATACTGATACATGTAATGTATTCCCTTATCAATCATCCCCTAGGGTATTTTTGATTGTCACAGTATCAGCCCTCATTCTTTCCAAAGAAATAATAAATCATTGAATATGATCCGAGTGGACAATCTTATCATAACAGAAAATATAGACATCATTTAATTTAAATTTAATATCAATTTTAAATTAGACATTTCTCGAAGTCAAAATCTCACAGAAAAGATTTTACCATGATTACCAAATAACTGCTCCCTTTTTGCAATTTTCTTAGCTCCCAGGACACTTAATAGGGAAAATATGGTAAGTTACTTAAAATCCAAAGTATATACTTCCAAAAAAAAAAAAAAAGAAAGAAAAAGAAAAACCAGAAGTGTTAACCTGATGTTCCCTCACTTATTCATACAAATTATTTATACATGTATTATCAACAATTGCATATAAAATCACTTGAGTTAAAAAAAATCCATTAGAAATGGTTGGTGAAATCTCTTACAGTATCACTAGTAGCTGAGGAAAACTGGCAGGAAGACAGCTGTTTATTTTCAGCCTTTACATGGTTGCTGTAATTGAATAAAACATACATTAACAAAACTGGATAGAAATATCACTATATAATTAAGACATCCAAAAATTGAACAAAAAGGTAGCATATATTTAAATAAAATGATGATACTTAATTCTATCAATTCTATGCATACCATAATAATTTAGAACTATGAAATCCAGAAGGCTTGGAATAATCCATTTTCAACAATTGATCAAAGAACCCAGATAATATTATAAGTAAATACCAAGCATCCATATTGAGATATGAAGTTCATATGCTTTTTAATTCAATTTTTTAAAATTTCTAAGGCTCCATATTTTTTTTTTTATTTGACAAATTATACACATTACCCTGTTGCAGATGGTGAGCGTGCATCTAGTCGCACTTGACCAGTTGAGGACTCATCAAATCCAGCTCCAGCTGGGCTGGGTGTCTTGTTTTGGTGAGATGCTGCCTGAGGACCTAAAAAATAAAACAGAACATGTATAGTGAACCTCGGTATTCTGAACATTGATACCTCAAATACCATAGTTGACTCGAAACATCCACTTTAACCTCAGTATCTCAGATTTTTATATACCAGGGGTTTTTTTTCTAACTCAACCAAGTTTACTGAAGATTGACTGTTTAAAAATTACCTGGTAAATAGAGCTTCCCCACCCTACATACACCAAAAGGTATATGGTACTGAAAAGCATGGTTTGAGGGGGGGGGGGGGGCAATTTTAATATTACCTGTATATTTTTTCCATAGCCTCTACAATTAGTTAATGCTTGTTTCTGGGTAGTCTCACTCAAACAGAGAATTCAAATTTTAAATACATTTATAAAGAATAATAGTGAACCAATGCATGTATAATAATGATTACCCGGTATCAAGTTTTTTTTCTCCGATTCCCACTACCTTTACTAAGTAAGGTTAACTTTATGTGCATCTATGTCATTACTATTGAAGCACAAAACACTATTTTTTAAGTGACACAGTACTCAACAAATTACCTGGTGAGCCCTGGTCAATATGAGATAAGAATGCTGGTTGATGAAAACGGGAACCCATGTCAACAAAATTCCAAGATTTACCCGATGGATGGCCTTGAAATGTTCTCCCTGCTATTATTCTATCTGCTGCAGAACTTGGACTAATTGATGACCGGACTGGGTCCCCTGCAGATGCATGTGGTCGTGCCATACCTCCCATTGGGCTTGCTTGGCGGGGCTGCATGGTACTGTGTAAACTATTTGTAGGCAACTGCATGCCCACTCGTTCAGGTCCAGGTGGTTTAGGCGTGTTTACTTTAGACTGCAGTATAGCTGCTGTGTGTCGGAAGCGAATATTTGATGTTGGTTGCATAGGCCTTTGAGAGGGTACACCATTGACCAGATTTGTCAAATTCCTAACCGACTGGTCAACAGGTGTTACATGGCTTGAAGGAACCTGGTGCTGATAGTTTGCCGCCCCAGAACTTGGTTCAGGACCTTGTTGCTGAGTCCACATATTGTAAATTTTCTGCGTCAAATTTCTTTGCTCATCCGTTGAAAGATGGGAAAATGTCTGTTGGATTCGAGGTGGTATAGAGTTTCTACTGGTGTAGTAACCACTGGCATTTGTTGTGCGATTAGGCATCACACTATGGGGGTAGACATTTGCTTGGCTGGCTGCAGTGTGTACTTGTTGGGAACTAGGAGCAGGTCTTTGCCCAGGAACTGGAGGAAATTTTTGGTTGTCTATAACCAGTGTACCTGCTTTGTGAACATTCCTCAAGATAAAATCCTTTTCATGTTCATAGGATATGGAATAATTGAGAATACTTGGATGGAAAGGGATTCCATTATTTGCAAGTGCACGCAAGGTTTTCATCATCACACCTTTAGCATAAAGTATGGAGGTATCATCACCAACAGTCAAAGCATTCTCAACAAATTCAATTGTGTGTTTCATTTTGTCTAATGCTTCTTTCACCAAGCGCTGTTTGTCAGATATGACACTTGTTTTAGAACTGACATATTTTTCAAGATACTGAATAAGATTGTCAGTATGCTTTGTAATTTCTTTTGTTATGCTATCTGCCACATCTCTCATATTTTGACAAACGTCATTAAGTTTGGATTTTAATTCTGTATTCTTTGATGTCAAAATTTTGTCTGCTTGATGATAGTTTCCAAGTTTTTGCTTCAATTTCACTACAGCATTCTGCAAGTTCTCTCTCTGATGTTTGATAGCCTCAGACAAAAACTGATACTTATGATCTTTGTGCTCTTCAAGCTGACAATCTCTACAAGTCAGTCTATCACATGTTTCACAAAAGAGTTTGAGTTGCTCATTTTTATGTACAGTACAAAACATAATTTTTTGAGGTGTAGAATTAGCATCATCCTCTATCTTCTTTGCTTCTTCTTTAGACTGAATGGTGTGGTCTTTGGTGATGCGTACTCGTTTATGCGCAATCACGCATTGATCACACAACCATTCTTTACACTCAGCACAAAATGAAGTAGCATCTTGATTTTCATCACACCCTGTACAAACGTGACTCTCTTCTTCCTTTTCTTCTTCATCCTCAATAACAATCGGTGTGGACTGGACGAACAGGTTGTCTAAAACTAACGACTTCTCAACAGTGGCATTGCAGGCAGGACACAAGATGGAACAGTTCTCTGACACTACAAATAGAAGTTTCAAATTATAAATAAGCAAGGAATTTGCCACTGACCCACTTATTATTCGGTATGGTTTTAAGGCTTAATGTCTCTCTGTTCTAAATTTCATTATAAAAATAAAAATCCCTAACACTGATTTTTATCAACAACAAAAGTATTAGATTCAATTGGAATAAGGTTTGAGGTATGAAACGAGGCTTACTTTTTCCAAAATTAAATTGATGTCTAACCATGTTATGAAGAAAATTTGACAAAGTCAATAAAGGGGCACTAAGAGTATTATCACAACATAAAATTTAAAAATATTAGGTATATTTAAAAATAATATTTAGTGTCAAACATATTAAATTCATATCAGAAAACATAATGAAGCCAGAATACCATGTTGTTTATCTTAAGCTTGTTAAAAAATGTGTCCATCAGTTAGAGTTATCTTTCTTTAATTTTTTTCTTTCTCTTTGATATACTGCCAAATATAATAATAAAAAAAAAACTCTACCAATATAGTACTCTGTAATTATACAAATTTTTAAGTTTTCAATGCTCAAATTGTAAGCCTTATGGCAAAATCTTAAGGGTTGGCAGCTCTGATAAAGGGAAAACACTGAAGGTAGATTATTAAGTAAATAAAAATAAAATTCCATATTTTACGCAGTCAACTAAAAAAATAAAAATAAAATTGGAAAAAGTGTCTGATTTTTTGATTTTCAATTATTTGATAATAATTGTCATATATATGGTGTGGAACTTAAAATATAATAACCACAACACAGACATTAGACTATTAAACCCTTATGAGAAATGGGGGAAATCTAAGGAATTTCTTATCAAAATATTTATCATGACCTCAACAAGATGACCAAGGAAAAAAAGTTCATAAAGAGAACTTCCTATGCTCAAAGTACTGAAAAAAATCATGAACCAACAAATCAAAAATGGAAAATATTGTTACAAAGAGAATCTCATTACTCAATATAATATAAAACCCAGAATCATGATTTAAACCTGTATTCTACAATACAGAATGAATATTACCGTATATACTCGCCTATAAGTCGGTTTTTTGGGAGTTAAACTTTGGTCCAAAACTCATTATCTGACTTATACGCGAGTTATAAAAAGACTGGTATTTTAGTGGGTCAATCCCTCTAATTTAAGCTAAAAAAAATACAACCAACTTATAGGCAGACCGACTTATAGGCGAGTATATACAGTAACAAACTTCTGAAAGCTTGAAAGTATTAACACATTAAATACTGTTTCGTTTGCAGTCAGTGTCTGCCTATATCTATTCATTGTGGTAGAATATCAGATAAAAACTGATTCAGGTTCATAAATTTTTAATAAAGATGGTAAACAAAAACTTGAAATATTATAATTACACAAAACATATAGACGACACAAAACACATACGTTACAAACATTTCGACAGACAATTGAAACATATTAGACTTTACATAAAAAAACATTTTATAACTTTAGTTCTTACCTGGACACACACAAGAAAGAATACAAATAAAACTATCTGTATGGAAGTTACACTGAGTGATACTTCTAACCAGTTCAATGGCTAGGATAGGAGTGCGGGTCGTTCGTAAGAAAAAGCGGAAATTTAGTGAATAGAATTGTAAAGTCATGTGACCGTCTGTCCAGTGTCTTAAAATAACATACCACATTCACACAAATTCTTTCATACCACATACTCACATATACGGAAGCAGCGCAAATTGCATTTAACATTTTAATAATTATACATAACCCTGGTTACACACAATAAAATACTTATGAATTTCCAATCTGTACAGTGCTGCATATGATCTTTTTTAAAATGTTGCAAGTTTGGAAATGTTTTTTGGATGTACATGCAAGTAAGAAACATCTCATTTTATTCTTAACAAAATTCAAATGTCTGTTTTCGATTTCCATTCTTTTATCAGGTTCATCAAAGGTATCAAAATTGTAAAATAAATGTATATGGTACCCACAGCAAAGCAACACTGACAGTCCTGTCAACATATCCTCTAGTAAAATTATGCTGATCATTTCTTTAATTCCTTTTGAACTCCAACTGAACTTCGATATATCGGACATACTCTAATTGATTTTCCTGTTAGCTATGGTTGACTTGGAAAAACTATCGTGTATAAGGACAAAGTATTCTGAACTATTGTAGAATTTGACATTTCTGCATCCATGTTGGCACGTTTTATAAACTTCCGAAACAGTTGATAACAAACGTAAATTCATTGGATGATAATAATGGCTTTCAATAAAGCAGCCAATAAGAATTGCCAACTTATTTGCACATTATTTTATTTTCTTAGTGCACTTGCATTGATGGGCGGGAAATTTAAAAATAAAACAGGGTTCTCCACATTTGAAAATTTAACCATGGAGGAAGCTGCGCGAAAGCGAAATGTGATCGAAAGCATGAACGCTTGTTAGACTCTCTAAGCTTCATTAATCAAGGATTGAATTCACAAAACGTAATCATTGCAAAACAAAAAATTGAACCCCCCCCCCCCCCAAAAAAGATTAATATAAAATAAAACAATAAAAAGGATTGTGTATCTTACTTTACAAAAGTACCAATTGTACCAAAATTTGACCAAAACTGTGGGAATGGTTTAAAAGAATTTCATATTTTTAAAAATTTAATATAAAGTTACCATTGCAACATACAATGTTCGTCAAATTTTATTCAAAAACTAATTTACAGTTCTTATTGATCTTGCCTATTGCATGAAAAGTTTTATTTAAATAGAATCAAAACTGATGTAGGAGTAGATCTAGTATTTTGGGTGGAAAAATTTTACAGACACACAAACGAACACACGAACAAACATCTTAACATTGCCTGAGTTTTTAACTGCATGGTCTTTGAAAACTTACTATATGGTATAAGTATCAAAACTTAATATAACCAGGGGCATAAATTTGACATAACTGTAATAATGCTTTCTCTGTTCTGTTCTTTTTAAACTTTTTTTTTCTATACTGCATTTTTCGCCGATTTTCCTCCATTGTTTACTTCTCTATGTGCTCCAGTGCTAAAAATAGCGCCACGCGACGTTTCATAAAAACGGGAGGTAACTCTAAAACTTAGACTTGGTGATTAGTCATTAGTGTTCATGTCCATTTTGTCAGAAAGATAATAAAATTATTATATTCAAAAATGGAGCAAGAGGAATTAATTACATACAATGGGATAAGAAATTACGTGTGTACAGGAAAATTAACTCTGAAGATATTGATAACCAGCTGATTGACTCTCGCTTCACGGTATACAGGTACACAGGGGTCTAGAATTTTTTTTAAAATTCACTTGCCCACGGGCAAGTATTGACTGGGAATCCACTTGCCCAGATTCAAAATTCACTTGCCCCCAAAAAGATGGAAAAAATCATCTAGTTTTACTGATTTTTTTTTTTTGAAAACATATCAGAAAATCATTTAATTTACTGGTTTATTTATTTGAAAACATTTCATTAATTAACCTAAAACAGAACTCGAAAACAAAAATCTAGAAAAATATAAACAACTCTATTTTGTTATTTTTTTTACTGTGTGGTTTTAATGTATACACCATCTAAAAGCAATTATTATGTACTTGTTTATTATTTTGTTAAAATATCTATTGATTTAATCACATTTTGACAAAACATTGTTTTCAAAACATCATTTCTGTTTTAAAAGCCATTCCGTAATTTTGAGATCTTTCCGGATTGGTTCCGATATTATACAAGTAATTGTACTTCCTTTGATAAGTATTGGAGATTAAATAAACGAAATGTAGCAGACTTGTGCAGATTCTAATACAATGTAATTGGATGTTTATTGTTATTGATTTCTTTTAATAAACTCGAAAAGTTTTGCTGGCTCAGCCTGAAATTTATTACTTTCCCGTTCGGGTAAGTTTGTCATGAAAACTATCTTTCCCGAGATGAATTTCACTTGCCCCGGGCAACGGGAAAGCGTAATTCTAGACCCCTGGGTACATGTATATTCGCCGATCAACGACCGTTTGTTTGTTTAATATAGCACAGTTCGCTTTCTCTCGAGGTGCATGCCAGTCGTAGTATAAACAAAATTAACTGCTCAGGTCATTAAAAATTAATTGTCAATACTGAAATGCAATAAAAATTTAACCATGGCGGCTGCTGATTTTAACCATGGCGCACATAAATTTAACCATGGCGGGCCGCCATGGTAAAACCCCTTGTGGAGAACCCTGATAAAATCAACAACAGGGACTTTTATTTTTATTTCGTTTTAGCTAAAATTGCAGTCGGCGCTCCCATAAATCATTTTATTAAAAAATGTTGGCCTTAGGGATGAAACCATGTAAATTTTCATTGAAACAACATGTTAGGTTTGTTTTTTCTTCAGCACTGTGATGGGCATCTTATGGAATCAAGATTTTCTGTTCTTATATAAAAAATCGTGGTGTAACGTTATAGCCTATACAGGATATATTTACTTGCTCTTTTGGGTCATAATGACCCATTTGCAATATTCTATCCCATTTGGGAGATTGTTCCCAACCTGTTTAGTTTTTAGCTTGAGGTTTACAAATTTATGTTATTTTATAGCAAAATGGTTTTAAAATTATAATGACTGTATTCATCAGCTAGTCAGTATCTTTCTTGAAACTGTAAGTGGTCATAACTCATATTTCAGATTTTTGGGGTAGGCCTATCTAACTTTACACTTTTGCTTGAATTTTCTTTTTCTCCATGAAACAAGTAATAGTTCGAAAAAGGGTACAAGTTGCCAACTTTTTCATTTGAATCTCCATGTAAATCAACGAAATACTCGCTGATTTTGTTGATTTGAAACATAAGAGTTGCTTCCCTTACCACATCGCACAGTAAACTTCAACAACGTTCAAAAACATTAAATAAATTATGAATCAGAATGATTAATTTAACACAAAAAATTATACCCAAATTTTCTCCTTTCTCTTCTGACGCTATGTCTCCATTTTCTTCGTTTGGACGCTTTTGCTGAATTTGGACTTGGAATAGAGAATTCAAGCAGTTTTCACACAAAGTATGTAAACATGATAATAATTTCGGACTCTTGTCTTTTAAATCCGACGCACACAATACACAAACTTGCAAATTGCTGTTTTCAGCCAGAGGAGGACTTGCTTCAGCCATTAACATTAACTATAAGAACTTATCTACACTGGAAAACGCATTAGTTCAGCTGCGTAAACAATGTGTCCTACGAACCTGCCGCCATGAACAAACCTCGATTTGAACAGCAGGAAGTGGAAAATGGTTGGGCGGTGGGCGCCCAGGCGGATCTAAAAATAAATGAAATACATCATGAAAACCCGTTTGAATATTTGAAATTTTTTTTTAGTCATCATCTAAAACAAATAAATAAAACTAACAGAATATTTGGGGTACTGTCAAATAAATGGTGTCTTTTAAACTTCGACCTGTTACGTCACTGCATGAATCATACATACCACGTGACACTCACAAAGTTAATGACTCATCATGTTCCAGCAATGACGCACGAAGGTGCACTCTGTAGCACTGCACGAGGCGTAAAAAGGAGAATTGCACGAGGCGTAAAAAGGAGAAAATACTATCGACACAAATAGCTTTATCTATACTGATCGACACTTGCAGAGTGTGACAGCCCGGGGAGGTCAAATGCTGATGAGGGTCTCGAGGGGATGTTTCGTTGGTCACGGAGATTCACCAACGAAACTTCGAGTTGATGTCCACCGTCTCAAATAAGTTCTGCCACACCTCGATTTTGTGACCCTGGAAATGCTACGGCAGCTGAGCGACGGCCACGAAAAGCGAGTCTCCGGCACCTTTAAATAACCAGAACCTTTCACTAAGGGAAGGAAAACGTCAGAAAACCACTGATCCACCGAGTCCAGTGGGTTTTGCTTAGGGTTAGAAACCCTAACATGTAAAAAAAAAATGCTTAAAAAAAAACAAAACAACCCCACACGCTTTATGTGCTCAAGGCACTAAGAGGACTAGGTAAAGTAATATAGTGATATGGAATTTATAAATTTGTTTAGTCCTCATTCCCATTGATATCGGCACGTGAATCAGAATGTGCTGAAAAACCAAAGAATCTGTAACTGGTAAGGAGAACACTTATGGCTGGACCGTGATCACAGTCCATGTAGCCAAAACCACTGCATTCCTCCCTTCTCAATTTGCCTTTGCTCTCTGTTAGACGCAAGCAAGTTAAATTCTTTTCATCTGGCAGGACTTTGTCCTGCAAAATCAGGGGTTGGTCAACAGCATTAAATAGGAATGAAGAAGATTTATGGCTAGGTGCCGGAAGTGGAACCCAACACCCTTGTTACTAGTCGGGTGCTTTAACCACTGATATATCCAGTGCTTTTAAAGTCAAATCCACTGCATTTCTGCCTCCTTAAATTGTCTTTGCCCCTCAAAACATGCAGCCCAGATTCTTTAGCCCCTAGCGCGGCTCTCACTTACAAGGGCAAGAATAATGCACGACACCGAATGTAACTGGAAAGGGAAACATTTATGACTGGACCTGGAATCGAACCCGAGACATTATTAGTCCCCTACCGGTGAAACCGGAAGGGACTATAGGTTTCCTCTGAGTCTGTCCGTCCGTCTGTCTGTCTGTCTGTCCGTCTGTCTGTCTGTCTGTCCCTCTGTCTGTCTGTCAGTCTGTCCCACTTGGTTTTCCGCAGTTTTTTCCTAAACGCTTGCAGATATTGAGCTGATTTTTGGTATGTGAGGGTATCTTGATGAGTTACAGATCAAGTTTGCATTTCGTTCCGCTTCATTGATTTTTGACGGAATTACGGCCTTTTCAATTTTTACGGGTTTTCCGCAATTTTCTTCTATACGCTTGTAGATATTGAGCTGATTTTTGGTATGTGGCTTTACCTTGATTAGTTATAGATCAAGTTTGCATTTCGTCCCGCTTCATTGATTTTTGACGGAATTATGGCATTTTCAATTCTTAACGGGAACGGAACCAGATTACACTTGCCGGTAGGGGACTAGTATTGCTAATGCAATACTCTCAGAATGCTTATTATTATCAGTCAGGTGCTCTGAAAAGTGATCTTTCCAGGCCTATATCCCCTGCTTATAGAAGCCCAACCATTACAAATAGATGAACGTAAAATTGATTTTTTGAAATGAGGGTCGAATTGATTAGGGATATCAGAATCTACAATATCAAGAATCTAGATGAAATATTAACCTACGGAAGATATGAACGTGAAAAGAGGGGGGGGGGGCTGTTAAAAATTTGTTAAAGATGTGGCAGCGGTTTCGGAACTGGTTCGTTCCTCGTTATAAAATGAACAGTGAACGCGCTTTAAATGACACAATAAATGAAGTTAATGGCAGCATCTGCATGGTCCCGAACATTTATGTGCATCATTGGACAGTCAGAAAAAAGATGGGCGTGTCCTGGTGTATTAAAAAAGAAAACTCACTGTTAATGATAATTGGATTACTGTTAACTTCACCGATGAAAGTCAGATTTTGTAGGTTTGGTGAAAACCACCAAATAAACTTGTATGTCGGTATGGAGGACGTTTGAAGAATCTTACATTTCCAAGTGCACGTGTCTTCGAAAGAAAATTAAGGGTATTGATTATGGCGTGGGGATTATTACATACTGCGAAGTTGGAACTCTGTCTTGTGGTTGGTAAAATACATGGCTATTACGCAGGACAGTATGTCGCAAATTTGGGAATTTAAACTATGGCTGGTCATTGCACGACTGTTAGCTACTAGACTATGACAATACCCTCGTACACAGAGCTCAGATCATTCAGAACTTAACCAGAAGATATCCAACTATTTTGAAGCCTATGGCTTCCAATCGAATAAACTCTACAAAATCGGCAACAAAGAGCTAGGTTCACTTTATGCATAAAATGACCCTGTTCTTGTATCAATTAATTGACTATCACCCTCTGTCCCATTTCATATATCAAAATAAAGTAGAGACATTTCCTGTAACAAAATTTCTTTTTGAGAATTCAGGTATTGGAAAAACTGACTTTGTGAAAATGCAATGTTCTCGAATTTTGCAGAAAACAGGCATATTTAACTACATTCAGCAAAGAATTAAAATATGAGCACAGCCCTCGATCCAAAAATTAAAACATGTTTTATGATCTTAGGAAACAGACTTTTCATTACGTAATTGCATATTTTGGATCAGAGGTTGTGCTCTATATGAAATATTGAAAAAAATACTCCAACGTTTGGCCACTTTTAAAGGAATCTACAGAATATGGTAAAAATGAGGTTTTCATGACGTCATAATGCATGGACTATGGAGAAAATTACGTCATCTTCAATAGATACACGGTCACGAAGGGTCCAAGTGATAAACACTGCATTGTCAACCAAAACTGAGCAGTTTCGATTTTTCAGAAACTCACAGGACCTAAAAAGGCCCTAAGTGGCCCTTGCTCTTTAGCGCCATAGATTGGTGTAATGAAAACCTCAAGGGTATTGCTTTTGGTCACACTTTTGGTCAACGGTATACCTTTGTTGCTAAAAATAAGATGGTTGGATTCTGTGTGGATTTTGAGAATAAATTAGAATGAGGTTCTCAGATTTGCATCATTGGGTGTTCTGAAGGGGAAAAATTTGTCAGAGATTTTATTTTTGTAGGACAGGGCTTCTGTCACAAGTATTTTTTGTTCTGTAGAATTTCCTTAAGAGTGCCTCTTATTACTAAGTTTATACTTTCATCATGATTGGTCTGATAAATAGTTAATCTGAGGTGTTTTTATTGGGGGGGGGGGGGGGGTCACAGATCCAAATGATGTGGAGTAAGTGTTTATAATTCGAGATTAACGGAAATGCGGGTCAGTAATACGCTTGTGTAGGATTTTATCTTTGTGTGGCCATTTTTTGCAGTTCGTTTTATTCTTTTTTCACCGAAGTTGCTCAGTCGGTTTAGTATTCGGGGTTTGATATTTGAGCTCAAATCATAATGTTTCGGACCTAAACTTATAGATAAAAGGAAACTACATGTTCCTTTGCCGAATAATCAGATAAAACTAGTATCGTGTTTTTGTAGGCTCTGCTGCAATACAATTTACAGCATGATACTCTGTTAAACTTCATGATACTTCATGCGTCGAAAGCCTGGTTTCAGGAATGCATTTGATAACTAATTCCCATTTGCAATGGAATGAGATTTAACAAGCATTCTGAGAGTATTGCATTAGCAATACTAGTCCCCTACCGGCAAGTGTAATCTGGTTCCCGTTAAGAATTGAAAATGCCATAATTCCATCAAAAATCAATGAAGCGGGACGAAATGCAAACTTGATCTATAAGTAATCAAAATTAAGTCACATACCAAAAATCAGCTCAATATCTGAAAGCGTAAAGAAGAAAATTGCGGAAAACCCCTAAAAATTGAAAAGGCCGTAATTCCGTCAAAATTCAATGAAGCGGAACGAAATGCAAACTTGATCTGTAACTCATCAAGATACACTCACATACCAAAAATCAGCTCAATATTTCCAAGCGTTTAGGAAAAAAGTGCGGAAAACCAAGTGGGACAGACTGACAGACAGACAGATGGACAGACAGACAGACGGACGGACAGACAGACAGACAGACGGACGGACAGACTCAGAGGAAACCTATAGTCCCTTCCGGTTTCACCGGTAGGGGACTAATAAGACAATTTATGCGGTGAAACGGCAGCTACTTAAAATATACCGTGCGCATATCAAATACAGTGTCTTGCTATCCTCCAAGATGTAAACAATTGACAGTGTACCCATTTTTCACATTTTTTTCATATTTTGCATACTTGTTCATTGTTTGTACATATTTGGACTGAGGTTTGACTGACAAACTCTCTACGCATTTTCGTCAGTTTAGATTTTATCAACAATACACAGCTCTACACCAGCTGGTTTCTTTTAAGTGTATGTGATATATTCACATTACCTTCGATTTCACTAAATCATTCAATCTGTCCCCTTTTGGTTGTCGGCTTGTTTTGTTTATCTCAGTTTATTTCGGACTTGTGGAAAAATCTTCAATTAATAATTTGATAATTTCAATTTTAGTTTTAGTTTTATGCATTTTTTTTAAAATCCAAAGCAAAAAAAAAAAAAGGAAAGAACAAAAAGATTCAATAAATTTTGTCTACAATTTTCAGACATCTCTTAGCATTATGAACTCCAGTCTATTACAGACAACCTGTTACGCAATTTGAAAAATCATTTTGCGCTGCAACAGCGAATGTAATTAGATTTGTCATAATAAGATTAACAGACAAAATCGATTA